AAAAAAAAAAAAAAAAAAAAAAAAAAAAAAAAAAAAAAAAAAAAAAAAAAAAAAAAAAAAAAAAAAAAAAAAAAAAAAAAAAAAAAAAAGAAAAAGAAAAAAGGAAGAAGAAAAAGGAAAAGAAATCACGCACAATCCCAGCACCGATCCCTATAAAACCCTCATATTAATAACTATACTACCACCATACTATTACTCTATATCAAGGTCCCCACTCAGGCACCAATACTCACTCAAGTCAGTCACACGCAGCGCAGAAATGCCCCCGAGATAAGTACGAAGTTAGACCGATAGCGTTCGATGACGACGGAGGATAAGTCAAAAGAAACTGACTACACCCGTAGGGGAAATGATAAAAAGATTTTTTTTATTCCTTGGACAATTCTGGTGTAGTAGCAGGATTTAGTCGACTGGATCCATAAGTGATGATGATCAATAGATCGGGATTTGGATCTCGGTGTTTGGACGGTGTGGAGCGGAGCTGCAGTGATCGATTGTGGCATTAGATACGTATACTAGAATAGTACTGTAGTAGTGATATACTACTTATTATCTGGCTGAAGAACCCCTCCACTTACGTAGGGTTCAGGCACGAGGGAGTGATTATTGGCTGTATGGATTTCTATTCAGCTCGGTTGGAGTATTGAAGATCTCGGCGTGGGATACTGCGTAGGGGTGGCGCGGGTTTATGGGGGCTTAATTGGCCGGTTTATAATTAACTGGTAAGTAGTTCCTACTTGTGGTAGAAGATTTTGGATGAGTGAGGATGGCGATGTTGATAGATAGGGGGTGGCGATCTAGGAATCAGGTTGCCTGGACAGGGTCATAGTGATACTCTCAGCTGAACCACAGGCGTAGTATATATCATGTATACTAATCATGAATGGCTTGTACTATCTTAGTCTTGGAGGAATAGCTTGCGTAAATGTAAGCTTTGAGGAAATATATGTATTTGCTTATGCAGAACAATACTTCTTTTTCACAATGACAATGCTCAGCTACTAGCTGAACTGATGGAATTGTGCGGGGTGGAACGGTCAGATATTTGCAGATGAGTGTTTTCCACAATCGTTAGTAAATATTTTCGAAGCAGCTCAGTAACTTCCATGGCTTGTTCTTCTTTCATCAGATGCGACCAGTACATAAGTTGAACTTCAGTCTTGTCCGGCTGAGCGGTCACAACAACAAGTATATCGTTCTAAGCCAGCCACGTCAGCATTGTCTGCTAAAAGTTCTATGGCCCATGTACATACATGTGTCTCTTCATGCGTCTCTATCGGTCGAAAGGAAAGCTTTCCTGTACCATTGGACAATGCGCTCTCCACTGAAAAACATGTATTGAACAGTGGTTGATTCTGGTTTCCTGGTAGCAATAGATCCTCAAGGTCCACGAGTGAGCAGAACTGGTGTGACTTGTCCTCGAGAGTGTTTTTCTGGCTCCACTCGAGTGTCTCTAAGAAAGAGGACCCTGCGCTCAGACGAAACCGACGTGGAAGAACATTGAAGATTGAACCGACCATGTCCTGAACTCCATCAACCGGTGCATCGCGTCCTGACATAGTCGTGCCAAAACAGACGTCGTTTGATTGGCAGTATTCCTGCAACACCAGTGCCCACGATAGTTGGAGTAACACTGTCATTGTCACTTCATACCTGCTGCAGAAGCGTTGCAGAATCTCGGTGTCGACGAGTGGGTTGACTACGCATTGGAGCTGAGAAGCAGCGCAATTGTCCCGGCAAAGACGATCCATGGACTGCTTTTGCCAAAGACATTGCGATAATCCGCTGAGCTTGTCCCGCCAATAATCGAGATGCTGACAATTTCTTTTCCAACTGTCAAGGTATGCCACCCAGGAGCGGTATGGTGGTGCTGGGGTGGGAAAAGGTAATCCGCGATAGGCTAAGGAAAGTTCATGGAGAATAATCAGCACCGAGCTTGCGTCAAGAAAGGCGTGGCTGCCTTCAAGTTTGCAAAGAACCTGCCCAGCATCAGACTGGTAGACCGTGAACCTGTAGGGCGTAACTTGGCTCTGCTGAATCTCTATGCGTGATTCGCGTAGAGCGGCAGCGAGATCATGGGAACTCAGTTGCGGTAAAGCCTTAGCTTCTGTGGGGCATTTATCCAGAACAACATGGTATTCGATACCATCAACTTCCGTCAAGACCGTTCGCAGCGCAGCATGGCGCTTAGAAACTAAGCCCCAAGCCAAAAGTAAGCGTTCAATGTCAATCAAGACTCCGTTAGCAGTAACCTCCCAGATTGTGTAAGAGAGAAGGAACGAGGAGTTCATTTTCCGAAGCAGTCCCTTGTGCGGATCAGTGCATGGATACACGTCCTCTACCTTGGCAGATCTCGGTAGCTTATTCAACTGTTTCGAATCGTCTTCCAATGATGCAACGTCCTGATATCTATTAGGAAAAAATGGCCTATCCTGAATGACTGCAGTCTTGTCCTTAGACCCCGGAGACGCCCTCAAGGCAATACGGTGTATTGTCTTGGCGTCGAAAATATCGTGAGCAGTGATATTGATATTCTCATCACGGCATTGTGCAACGACTTGCATTGCTAGAATTGAATCACCGCCTAGGGCAAAGAAGCTCTCGTGGACACCGACATCATTTATGTAAATATGCAAGACAACGCCCATTATGCGACGTAACCTTGTATGTTGGAGATGAATTTTTCCATGACGATACTGGGTCCCTGAGGAGACATGTATGATTCCAAAGTTTCCAACGGCAGCTTTGATGCTTCCTTCTGCAAATCAGCTCTGCTGGAGAAGCCAATTGACTCATGTGATACATGTACTGGAAGGCATATAGAGGGCATCACTGCATCCGAGAGAGTGCTTTGAAGCTGTGCCATAGCCTGATGCAAGCGGGCCCTAGTATCATTGTCCGGGAGCTTGAAGACACACGAAGGGTTAACACCTGAGCCGCCATCAAACCCGACAAATAAGGCTAGTTTTGGTGTGTTTGTATCGATAGGAATAGCCCATTCTGCCCTCAGCGGAATGTTTTGCCCCAGAAGCGTTTGAGCCGTTCGTTCTATTTCATCAAGTATTTGGCGTTCCTCATTCAGGTCCCCAGGGTCGATGTATTCGGTGGCCTTCTGCAGTAAACCCCCCACAGTATCTGATGACGAACTAAGGATCATGTTCACAAATCTGCTCATCTGATGCAGGTATCCTTTGACTTTGTCGGGAGGGACTACTTCAGGATCGAAAACACCCCGTAATTTCATAGTGTCCTCTGCGTATTCGCATATAATCGTAAGAACTTGGGTCGCCAAACTAGCGTCAATCCGTTGTTCCAATGTGTCTTTTTCCGTAAGTTCCAGTAGGCTATGAGAACGTGCTTTGGGCAGATGCGTCCTTGTTGGCTGGACAATGAGCAAGCTTTGGAACTGGCTAGCACTGACGGCTTCAGAACCGCATTGTCGCATTTTGTGAATCCCAAAATGCTCGTAAGGCATCATGTCTAGTGCATGCTTTTGTAGACGAATCAATTGAGTATGAACTTTCTCGCCACTTTGGATAGAGATGCGTAGGGGAAACGTGGTGATCGTAGGCCCGACAATGCCAGCTATTTCGGAGCTGTTGCGACCCGTTACGGTTACCCCAAAAATGACATCCAATGATCTTGTATAGCGGGCCACTACGAGGGCCCATGCGAGGCGGCATGTAGTCGAGAGAGTTATTTCATGCTCGTTGCATCTGTGAAGACAAAAGCTATGGACATACCGCTCGACTTTCCGGGGAATATGGCCTAGGGGAACATTGGCTGGAAACGGAATTGCTGCCAAATCGGCAAACTCATTTGCCCAAAATGATCTTGCGGCCAATATATCCAAGTTTAGAAGGTACTTAATGAAAGGGACAAACGGGGATGTCACAACTGGTGTCCCGTTGTATGCGGTTTCCACGGCATTCACGATCTGACTGTAGGAGTACGAGTCGAATAACGCATTATGCAAAGCTAATTTCAGTATAGGACTAGGCTCATGCACCGTGGAATAATGGAAAAGTGGTGTTCCTGTGGACATTATTATACTTTGATTTTGGCAGTTGGTCGTTGCATCCGCCCATGCCATGTCTTCCCAAACAACATGACTTTCACCCCTGGAATTGGCCCGAATGGAATTGCACCGCCTAACTCCTCCGGAATTCATGTCATTATTGTTGGCCTCGGTGTGGCCGGCCTAACAGCGGCTATTGAGTGTTATCGGAAAGGCCACAGGGTCACCCTTTTCGAAAGATCCCCGGTAGTCAAAGGTGTAGGTAAGTGTCGGAATATACCATTGCTTCGAAACTTATAGCTCATCGGATCTCGAAACAGAGGGTGATGGCATTACCATTGGGGCGAACGGCTCACGTGTCACTTCCAAATGGGGCGACGGGGCTGTACACGAGCGAATGCTACCTCTCCAATTTCTTATCGAGAAGATCAAGGTTATCGAGTATACAGGCTATGACTTGGGTGAGTTTGAGCTTCGTGGGTATAACCGTGGTGACGGACATACCCTCAATCGAGGCACATTGGTTACGGTCATGTATGAGCATGCGCGCGAGCTCGGGATAGACATCTGTCTGAACTCCCCTGTGACTGACTACTGGGAGACGGACTATGAAGGAGGCGTTGTTGTCCATGGGAAGCGCATTGCAGCAGACTGCGTCCTCTGTGCAGAAGGTGCGCACAGTAAGGGCAGGGAGAAGATCACTGGGGAACAGCTTGTTTCATGGGAGACTGGCTGGTCCGCATTCCGAGGCTGCTTAAATACGGATGCGGTAGCGGCCGATCCTGCAACCCGATGGGCCCTTGATAACGCTGAGGAATATGATCAGACAGTTGGCTGGGTATCGAATGATATCCACTTCGCACTGTGGAGAGGGCGAAAAGGAAGAGAGCTTTTCTGGTACTGTACCCATGCGGTAGGTGCTCTCTTGTTCCAGATTATCTATATGGAAGCTTTTAGTTAACACGCCCAGAATGAGTACGCCGCGGAAGAGGGGTGGGATGGTAGTATAGACGTTGTTGAGAATGTTCTTGACACTATCAAGGATTGGCCTGTGCGGCCGCAGCTGGAGCCACTCATTCGGAAGGGGAAGGGCGGTTGGTATGTCGATCAGAAGTTGGTGATAAGGGAGCCCATGCAGACATGGTTGTCTCCTCGTCGAAGGATGTTGGTTATCGGCGATGCCTCCCACGCCGCCCTTCCATCTAGTGGCCAAGGGGCTAGTCAGGCAATCGAAGATGGTGCCGTCCTAGCAATTGCACTGGAGCTAAGCGGAAAACAAGACGTTCCTTTGACTTTGTCTGTCGGGATGGCGATCAGGTATGCTGATCGACCCTCGAGGCGACAATCCATCCCTTGCAGTAACGGCTGACCTTTTCGATAGACACAAGCGAGCGTCTGTGATCCAACGCGGGGCACCGCTAGTTTTGAAATCCATGATGAAGACCACCTGCAAAGATTTACGGGAGGATCTCAGTGGCGTTACTCCTCCGCATCCAAGCTGGATTTTTGACCATGACTGTCAGGAGTACACCTACCGCGAGTTTGCGAAGGCTGCAAACGCCATACTCACTGGTCAGCCCTATGAGCCCTCCAATGCTCCAGCGGATGGAATGTATCGGCTAGAGTATAATAGCCAGATGGGTGGATGATTCAGCCATGAGGGGCATGATATCTCCCTTCGAGCGAACAGCATCAGTGGGGTTCCTTCTTTCGTCAAGATACTGCCCATACCATCCTGATGTGTTACACAAGGGAGTATCTGCCTTTGCTTAGGAGGAGCCAGTTTTGTCTCGGCACATTAATTAGTTGGGAGTCTACATCGGCAGACCTGCAGATGAGTGTGTTAGATCTCAATTGGACTTGAACCCTAATTATCGTCTTTCTTCCCTTCCCTTCCCGTCCCATAGTGCCTTCCAGGCAGCTTTTTTCCTTATCGGTCTGATAATGTTGGTATGATAGTCACATTCGAAAGAAAAGTCCTGGAACCGTTTACTCTCCCCGACGGCACGCCACTCCATGCAGGAGAACATATCGCTGCGCCGGTGTTCCATGTTGGCTGCGATCCGGAGTATATTGAGAACCCGGATGTGTTTGATGGGTTGAGGTTTCATCGGCTGAGAAATCAGGGTGGGTTGTCAGCTACTACTGCAGCTGGTAAATATCACTATGTGTCTGTGAATGAGACGTCGCTGCATTTCGGGTATGGGCGCAATGCTTGCCCGGGGCGATGGTTTACGGCTGTTCAGATTAAGTTGTTGCTTGGGCGGTTGTTGGTGAGGTATGATGTTACCTCTGGGGAGGGCTCGGACACAGTTCTGATCCGAAGGAGGAAGGGTGGTGAGGATGGTGTGTAGATGGTGTTGTTGTGGATAGTAGAGAATTGATGAGGATATATAGTGTAAATAGGATTGATTATGCTACTACTGTGGACTGCGATTACAAGGAACTGTTACTTTGTCTACGAAACAGAAGGTTAGAGAAGTGAAAATCGTTATTAATGAGATTGAATAACACAATAAAAGTGATATAATCGAAACCAAACAAATGGCATAGCGGGTATAAGTTCGTAACATGTCATAAAAGAGATCCGAATCGAATCGATCAGAACAGAACAGACGCGCGCAGCGTTCTCGTGCTGATAAGGTGTGACCAATTCAACAGCCTTTCGTGAGACAAATCCATCCAAGCATGACGCGTGAGTGAGCCTTTTGCGACTCGGTGCGTGGATTTTCTCCTTCCTGAAACCTCCAAAAGGTTGGCTGGCAATATGTTGCCAGATTGGCCCCAATTTGATCCTTGATATAAACGGCGGAGAGATTCCAGGGTCTTTGAAAGTCTGTATGGTGGACGGCCACTAATGCGACCTTAGAGAATCATCTGTCGGAATATGAAACGCAATAATACCCAGGAATGGATAACAGTCCATCAGATATAAGCGTGCAGAATATTCGAGTTTCAATCCTTGGCATGATGGTGTCTCAGGCGATCCACTCCATCTCGAACGGTATCCCGCAGACTGAAGCCTCCGAACAGCCAGTCATTCGAGTGACGACCGTAGTGGTTCACTGTGCCGCTGTAACGACGGTAATCGTGGCCACTTCGGCGGGTGTGGCTGGAGGATACGCGCTTGTAAGTTGCGCTGTGGTTGTCATCGTCGGTGGAGACTCTGCTAGGAGACATGGTGGAGACGGGGCTCGCAGAGCGACGAGGAGTAGAGTTCGCAGGAATGCTTCGAGGAATGTCGAAGCTAGATGATGGAGAGGAGCGATTCGAAGGGAAAGAAGCCGCGGTCGGAGAGTGGGAGCGCGACCGGAGAAATTGTTTTACGCTGGACAGACGGCTTGCCTTGTGATGCCTGGTCTTTGTAGCGTGGGAGTTGGTGGTGGCTGATGAGGTGGATGAAGTAGTGGATTGAGAAAGAGCCCGCTTGAGTGTGTTTGGTTGAGCGGAAGTCTGGGGGTCGTTGTTCATTTCTTTTATGATTATCCTCGAGGAGGAGATATAAGAGAAGAGTGGGATAAACTCGTGTAAAAGGAGGATATAGCATCCTAAAAAAACAGGGGAAATGAGCGTATTTATGTTCCATCGTCCCCTCCTTCCGTGCTCATTCCGAGCACATCTGGAAGCCCACCCATCAGCCTATCAAAACAGCACTGGCCCTATCCGGGGCATGGGGCCCCCTGCCGGGAAGCCCGAGGGGACGAATGAAAGAATGCCAGCACCGAGGGGCTCCATCGATAGGGCTCAAATGGCCCCTTCTTGAGTCACGGACGGCAGCTGAATGATGGGCCAGTCGGTGAGGATCTCCAGTTATCTCCACGCGTCTGCCCTATGCCTCACGAGCCCGCCAATCAGCGTGCCTGTCACCGGGGAATGACCCATCCAGAGGCTCCATTTTCACCGCTAGATCCACTGCAGCAGCGTCCACAAGGCTGCCTTGTTTCTGTCCGCTGTTCGGGCGCGCCCGTCGGAAATTGATTGTGTGTCCTTTGGTGATAGGTAGTTGGAATGTTCGTCCTCGTTGTTTTTGTCTCGATCATGAGTGAGCTGTCAGCTCTGGGGCATTCCAGACAATTTCCAGAATTCTTCCCACGAAGCGACAGCACGGGTGAGAATTCAGCCCCCACCTTGCAGACAGGAATGATCGCTCGGACTTAAGCAGGTAGGATAGGAAATGATGTTCGAATCCGGACTAGAGACGGGACATAGGGCTTACGGCTCACAGGAGGTGTTTTCCCAAGTGTTAGTCTCAGCTAGTGCTGATCTCCACCATGGTCTGTCTCTCTCTCTTTCCCCTCTCCAGGCTACCGCGAACCGGAGAGAATACACTCACGGATTGCTTATAATAGCAACCGCGTGAAAATGGCTCTTATCTGAAACATGATCCCTGCTCAGATTATAACGGTCCAACTGCGGGATATATGAAAATGCCTCGATGGAATGACTTGAGGGAATTAGAGGGAAGGCGATGCGCTGCGGATGGTGTTGAATGCGAGACCAACAACACAGCGACCGACACACAGAGACTCTCAGACGGCCTTCCCAATTGGGACTCCGCCCAGTGGCCCACTTGAGGCTCTTGAGCTCGACCAATGACATCATGGCCCTTCACGTGCCCCGTGCCAAGAGGGCTGGCCGGCACGCGCTTCCGAGCACAAGGAGAATGGGATTACTACTGGGATTCATACGGGCATGGATCATGCTGCGACGAGTCTTGCTCCGAAGACCGTCCTTTTCTTCATTATCTAGTCTTGGTATGACCTACCGGTCTTGCTATACTGTTGAGTCAAATAAGCAGCCGCCGACAACAACAACAAAGCTCATCACATGCAGAATGCCCATTCAACGCCATGAAATCAACCCTCGCGATGCAATGCGTTAAAAAACTGTCAAAACAAGCACTGAGATATAATCAATAAAAAATAGCACAGACTAACAGACAGTGTAAACAAGCTATTGCTCCTCTTCCAGCGGCCACAACGCAGCGCTGGGCCTTTTCCACGACCGAGGCTGCTCCGAATGGCATCGTCGATGATATCGCTCAACTGACAGGTATCCAGCTCCGGTCTTAACATCAGCAATTCTTCCCCTTTCAGCAATCGAACCTGAAGGTGGTAGAACAGGAGCTTCCTGGGGCATCCAGTATGAAACGAGCACACTTTCTCCAGTAGTAGTCGTGGTCGGCAGCACAAAGAGTGATCGCGCCTTATCCAGGGGTGGACGGATCATTTTCCGGAGGGACCCCGATCCCGATCCGGCATGATGGCCTGTGACCTGCGAAGGGGCACCAGGCGAAGCTGAATCCCACGGAGCGTACCAACGTCGATGGGTTCGGGCAGTTCTGGAACGAATGATACCCGCCGATGCGGCATCATCCTCGAGCAAATCCTCAGATCCCACGGGTGTCAAGAACTGCTGTTCGAATTGGCGTTGCTGCTCAGCGATGATGAGCGGCAAGTTTCGCCGTTCACGTAGCTGCGTCCCAGGGCCGCAATATGGCCAGGAGTGGCGTCGTCGATGGTGAACTAAGTGTGGCATATCAACACAAAGTAAGAGCAACTAGAACTATAACTATAGAGTAGATGAATCTGTTAGGAACCGGATAGCAACGGACAAGGACAGACTATAAATACCAATGGATAGATCGATACCTAAACAGAAAACAGGAGCAACCCAGGCAACAACAAAATACCCAGTATTTCAGTCAGTTCCTCCTCGACGAGAATGATCCCAAGGCTTGCCAACAGGGCAAGCACTAATCATGGTGAGGAAAACAGGACACATCTCAACAAACGCCCTGGGGGGCAGTTGGTAACAAGCCTCGCGTTATAAGAGCTCAGCCTTTGCCCATGGGTCATGAGGCTCGCACGTGCAAGGCGCACGCGTCGGCGACAAGAACACTGGGGAGAGATCACCCGGGCGACTAACTGACTGAGACGATCTGGGGGGTCCCGCTGAAGAATACATGATTTGAGCCATCCTTCACAGGTCATCCGCTAGAAGGAACCGGATAGACGCGCCTTGAATTGAGTCACGGAGGATGAGCAATAGTTAGCTATGACAAATGAAATGATAATCAGCGACTGGCTTGCGCGGCGGGAAGGATGCTAGTTAATAATTATAATCAAAAATTAGCTTTGAAATCAAGCGCCTACAGATATTCTGCCCGGTTCCGTCAGGAGAATTATACAGTTACCCGCTGGGCGGGTTCTGCAGGTTCTGAAGGTAGAATATGGTGTTCGTGCGGATCTCCAGATGAGCGGCATGATCAAAGCGGGGTACAATAAAAAGTGACTAACTACATGGACGATGTATCCTATTCACCAACACGGACGAGTGATCTACAGTCTGTTGCTCTTATCACAAGCTCGCGAGTGCTGATATCTTTGTTTCTCTTCTCCGGCACGAGAAGCGATCAGCGCATATTGTTTGGAGGCGGAGATGGAGATGTTGCATGTTGCTGTTGCATTGCAGCACAGACCTGGCTTCTCCCCGGTTTTTCTTGTTTGTTGTCATCTGATAGGTTGTTCAATACATACTGACTAGCTAACAGATAGTCTGGATACTCTTATATATCCAGATTTATATGTACCTAGGATATCCTTCTGGCTAGCGGCTAGACGGTGTATGGATGTGAGGTGTAACAGTCGAACATTCCATTACACTCTTGGTTGGTAGCGCCGCGATCAGATATGGCCAGTGCATGGCAACCCCTCCATAATTTATATATGAAGAGTATTTGCAGTTATCGTTCCCTGTTTGTTCAACACGGCTCCCATGCTCTGCCATGACAGTTTGTGGAATATGAACATCAGTGTAGTTCCCAGATCGTGATAAACGTGGGGTGAAGTTGGCTACTTCGTAAGCCAAAATCCGGTCGATTTTCCCATCACCCAGTCACGTGGTCTAATGGTTATGATTTCTCGTTCACATCAAGTGAGTTTCTCCTCTACTGAGGCGCCGAGAAGGTTCCCGGTTCGATCCCGGGCGTGACTACTCTTTTTATATCCTTTTTAGTTCATTCAATTATCTTGGTTGCTAAATGCTGCCTCTCGTACTATATACTGTATGTTTTTATTGTTTGGGTTGCCTGGTATATTGTGTCCAAATTGGGTTTGTGAGATCCATGGTTATCCTCGTCCTCCTGGTGGGGACGTGGCCCGCACAGCACATGCTCCTTTTGCTATAACTGTTGATCTTGGATTATCGGTCCCACGCAATTATCGCACCAGATACAACGCCTTAACTTGATCCTGTAAGCTTTGTTGTCTACTTCAGGTGGTTGTCCGTTATGACCGCAACAAATTCTTCCCGGTCTGAATTATCTCAGCCTCGTCGTTTCTCTAAGAAAAGGAAGACATACCTTTTAGATTGGGAAAGGTGATGGTAATTGGCCCCGTCTTGTGCTCCCTATTTAAATTTTTGGCTGCCCCTGATGCAATCTTTGTCATGTTGAGGACCATCCCCCGTGAGTAGCTGCTTGGGGAGAAGCTGACTTGATTTCCTGCTCTGGATGGTTCTGATGTCGGTATGGTCATTGTGAGCCACCTGTCCATTATATGGTCGCCCCAACGCGAAGCAAGACGAATGGTATTTCCGTCGCGCCATAGCTGCACTTGCGAGTCTCCTTTAACCGACTTTTTAGGACCGAGAATTAGTAGTTTGTCTTTGGTCATGAGGGATGTGGCTCTTCTGGAGAAGACCAGCTTGTATGTTGATGCAAGCGAGGACATGAACGCCATCAGTACGCTCTCTTCATTGAACTCCACTGTCGTATCCCTCAGCTCTTTTTCGCAGTGAGAGAAAAACACTCGGTGATCAGCCCGGTACAACTGGTCAACGTGTGATGATATATAAGTGGCGGATAATGCACGGGGAAACCTCACACGGAGATTAGAATGGTCATACAGATAGTCCATATCCCTAAAGAGGTAATGTAGACTGCACTGCTTCCAATCCGCGCGAGTTCGACATACCATCACCGCCTTGTAGCGTTTCTCGTCCGGCGCAATGTCAGCGACCTCATATACATGGCCTGAGCTTTTGGCCTGAGACCAGGTGAATGCAGGCTTTGTGCTTAAACCCAGAACAACCTTTTCCAGTTCATCCACTGCCTCTTGTAAGCGGAATTGGATGCCAAGACCTATGTTTGGATTGCTACTGTCGTAGATGTAAGTGAACAGTGGATGGTAGTTCCCATCTGTTTTGCTGGATCTCTCCTGACCAGTGTCTGACCACTTCAGCAAAATGAAGCCTGAAGCCGTCGTACGGCTGACTTGTACATGGCTCAGAGGCATGAAGAATTCGGTAGTCTGCCCAGGCTTGTCAGCGGCTGAAGAGCTGATGACCATGCGTCGGATAGAGCGCCACGCCTCGCCAAAAGACCTTTGCAAGATGCGCACTTCGCAGGATCTGTGCACTGTAGGTGGACTAGTCGATACCAGGCTAGGCATTCTCAATTGCTCAACTGATTCGGCTGGACTCTTGAAAATGACTGTCTCAGTGAATTGATCAGAATCAAGCGGCTCCCGTATTTGGACAGCATCAAAGTATGCTTTAGGCATACTGATCACTTGCATGATATCTGACATGTATTGAAACGAAACCGACAAACTCATTGTGTCGAACTTCAGTGTCACGGGTTCTGTTGGCTTTGGCACGGATAGATTGGTGAGTGACGCATTTGATACCTGAATTAACTGAGCCAGATCCCCTGGTGCCACTGATAATGTTTGAGCTTCGTCATTTTAAGCCACTTTGACTAGACGTGTAGGCACACTTACAGTCTCGCTGTAGGCAGAATGTGCCGTACTGGTTGCAGAGGGTGATTTTGGGCTCGCTTTCACCATACTTAGTGGACAGAAGCAGCATGTATGGAGCTCCTCTGGATCGCATACGGAGCTTCTTAGTCCCAATTCCTGCATTCACAAAAGTCCGGAAAAGAACTTTCTCATCCTCTTTACCAGCATCTTCCAATTCTACCGTGATATAGCAGAAGTTTCCTGGTTTAGCTGGTTGGCCATCCCTCCCAATCATTTCTTCAGGCTGTAAAGGTTCCCAGAAGTCGAGGTTTTGCGAGTGGATGGCAGCGTAGTCAGGGATATCAACAGCGCTAAATTGCCCAAAGTCTTCTTTGAGACCCTTTGAATTTCTTAGCCTGAACAAAGTAAGGTATTCGTTGAAGAGCTTACGTCTGACAGATCTGAGATCATTTTTCTGATTTCATCCTCCAAGAGCAGCTGTGGGTTGTCACAATTCAAGACTATGTCATATAGGATATATGACGCTTTCAGAAGATCCACATATGCCTGGTGACTTGAGTTACATGACAGCGCAGACGGGCTCACGCTGCCTCTGGTGCTTGCAAGCGTTGATCTTTCGCTATTTGCAATGGCTGTCCTGGCCTTTTCTAACATAAGCATCTGTCACGAGAGAAAGGCTCAATGCGTATGTATACCTTCAGAAGCCACCATAGAGCAACCAACAGCCAGCATCTAGCAGTGAGTTGCTGAGCTCGCTCTTCCTTGTGGGTTATGTGATCAAAATTTGCGAGAAGTTCTGCGTCAGGCTGATGGGTTTTATCGCATGGTTCACATCGCAGCGATCGGAAGATCTGCTCTCGCAGTTGCCGTCGGTGGAGTTCTTGTATTGCATCAGCTCCTGAATGGCCAGGGCTACCCCACGGCGTTGACTCGCCTGGTTTTATTGAGGTTGACCGTTGAATTCGCCCTTGATTCTGTATATTTGAGAACCCAGATCCTGGTCCACGAGCCCAAACCACTTCTTTCTCCGTCGAAAAAGCCTCTGAAACAATTGATTGTGGAGGGCTAAAAGTTGATGAAGCTGGACTAGTAGGGGAAGTGTACGTAGTAGCTGTGAAGCTAGACGTGTCCGAGTGTCCCGAAACAACGGATTCGGAGGAAGCCGAAACATGAGAGGGCTCTTCTGGCGGACATGAGGGTTGTGTAGCGGCAGGATTTGGCCTGGTGGGTTCCGTGCCATCCAGTTCTGCTAGTATAAAGACGTTCTGCTGGCGAGGCGTCGATACTGATACTGATATAGGCGAGACGTCGTCATGTGCCTGCCAAGATGAAGGAGTTGGTGGAGGTAAGTCTTTTGCCGAATCTTTTGTCGCCGAACTTTCAGTTCTTCCTAAAGACGGTCTGAAGAATGAGAAATGGTCATATCTGACTAAATTGGGAGAGCTCACTTGGTAAGAGAGCCGACACATACGCCTAAATAGCATGTATGAGCCACAATCTTGGACTTGAGATCGTCGATAAATGCTTGCTGTGTCATCCAATCTATGGACTGCCATAGCTGCCTTCCGTTTTCAAAACCTGTATTTCGATACATGTCGACCACCTCCTTCAACTGCTGTAAGGTCCCTGAGCAAGAATGTAGGCACCGATATAGAGTATGCCTGCATTCGTCATCTGACTCCGCGAGCTCGAACTTCCTGGTGCTGACATCATCTCTCAGGGTTTGAAACACGCTATGCAGGGATGCCAGACTAGCCACAAGCTGGTTGAAGCCGTCAGGGGCATCTCCGGAGATAGAATTGCATGTAAGATATAGGTCGCGTGCCAGTTTGGTAAGTTCCGGAATATCGGCAGCTTCGGAATTAGAAGCCATTTCTAGTCTTTCAGTATTAATATAGGTAAGCTATGATGCCTTACTAGTCTTAAGGATAAAAGAGCCGGAAAGAATAGGACGTTACCGGAATTGTCAGTTGACAAGTGACACACGAGTAGGCAGCAAATGCAAAACAGTAGTGTCAAAGACAGAGGCCGGTGGAGACGAAGGGCGCAGCACGCAGCCAGTGTCTCGGATCGATAGCTCGGCATACGTACCTTATAAACATACAGCTAGGCGAGAAAGCCACGAGACGAATTCAGAAGGGGGGATGGCGCAACTGGAGAACTTCATGTGACTCCCTCCGACATTGGGGTTGGCGCGAAGTTCTAGTGTACCATTAGAAACCCCGGTATTTGGGCAGGGCACGATAGCGATCTCGTGTAGAGAGCGCATCGGAAATGCAATCAACAGGCAAGATCACTACGAGGCGCAGCACAGAGTATGACAGCAGGGATTATCATTGCAGAGCGAGGGTACGAGGGAATAGAGTTTGGGCCAAGTGCAAATCACAGCGTCAGGAAGTGATAGCTCCCCGGCGATTCAACGCTCTAGAATTGTAGCCAGCGACAGGTGGTTGGCTGACATAGGGTGTGGTTCCTTTCAGTTTGCCCCAGGAGCAACAAAGAGCGGAGTCGCTATACCCCGGATCATTGCATTGGGGTCAAGTTGGTCAAATCGAACATTCATGCGTAGGATTATAATCGCGGGATGCTGTGAGCAGCAATCAAGATGACTGTATAGCATTGAACTCCATATCTAGATGATCTTGATGAACCTTCTGATCGGATCCGAGAGCATCGGCTCCGTGACGGACTGTCCATGCCATCAGGAAGGGAACAACATCCATGGGCAGATCACCAACCGCTGGTGCGTGCGGAGTCTATCTAGCGTTAGCGCATGGTTCCTTCCTTTCATTGTCCGGATCCAGTCAAGACCACAGCCACTCGTATATGCCAATTACGAATCTGTACTTCCCTCCCTCCGCAAGAGGGATTCTCGACAAGTACCATCAATGAACATGAAGATGACCAGGCCAAATGAAAGAATGAACAAGAGGGAGAGGTGTGAGTCAAAGAAAGCAAACAAACCCAGCAAAGAAAGCGGTGGGTCATCCCGACCCAAACAGGCCTAGTTTAAGGATGCCTCAGGCGATGACGGGAATCCACGCGTTTCAGGGGTTCAAAAATAGCCTCAGCGTCAACAATAAATAGCATCATCGGTCTTTCATTGACCACTTTTGCTTTTGTTTCTCATTGTCAGGTCACGCTGACAGCTAGTGCCGATCACTATGGCATTTATAACATCGCTCGACTCCCTTTGGGCGGCTTCGAGCCTCCAATTCGACAACGCCTTCCAATTCATAAAATCCCTCGCCGGCAACCATACCGACATTCCGAAGACAACCGAGACAATACTAGAAAGCCAGATTGGCTGGTCCAATCCTCCAGACCCGTCCAACATGCCATTCAATATCGATTTTCAGATGATTTTTTCGTTGTTCTACTTCCTCATCATCTTCCTTATACCTGTCTTCCTCACCAACTATCTCCTCCCTGCCACGAGCCACCCCAGACGCGATCGCTTCCTGTTCGGATGGCACCTATTCGATGCCCTCGTCCACTTCGGCATGGAAGGGCTCTTCCTCTTCCACTGCTTCTTCAGCTACGCCCCTATCTCCCCCAGCGAAAGCCGCGACCCCGTCTTCCTCGGTGACAAAGACCACGTTTACGGCGCCACATACTCCAACTCACCAACCGCCAAACTGTGGCATGAGTACGCTCAAGCAGACCACCGCTGGGGTGGTGCCGACCCCACCATCATCTCTATCGAGCTGATCACTGTGATCTTCGGCGGTATCACCGCCTCCTTGATCAGCTATTGGGTCTACCAGGCGTCCTGCCGGCAGCCGAGGGAGAAGGAAGCGATCAAGGGAAAGATGTGGTTCATGATGATTGTGCTAGCGACGGCTGAGATATACGGAGGCTTCATGACCTTCCTGCCGGAGATGCTGACTGGTAATACGGCGTTGGCCACTGATAGTTTCCTGTATTTCGTGCTGTATATTGTTATCTTCAACGGCCTCTGGGTCGTTGTCCCTGGCTGGATTCTGTGGGAGGCGTGGAAGGAGTTTACGGGGTCCTTCAGTGTCATTAAGAAACAGCGGGACAACAGCTCCCCCAGGCACAAGCTTGGAAGGTGACTAGATGAACAGAATGTTCGGACGGATGATATGTCAACACGCAGGCAGCCCCATTACATGTGAGAACATGCTGTCGGGCTGCACGGAGGATTATGATACCCTGTTTCTTTGCATGACATGACCTAACGGGGATGCATAAGCGCTTATTCTTTTTCTGGCATACTATTCCGCTATATATTTTTGGATACGATTATCGATACGTATCAGCTCGTGACTAATGTTGATTGCATATATCAGTACATCAAACGTTCCATATCTGATCTGATCTCATCTCATCTCATCTTATCTTGGTGACACAACCACCTGGTAACCCCACAAACAGTGAATTATAATCAGCTCAGCCCAGACCGCACAATCATCCATAACCAATGAAAGCCCAAGATTGTCCGAGATGTCAAACAATCGCGAAAATCCACTCTTGAGGGGCCAGCCAATAGTTGTAGGCGCCGGAGACGCGTCGACGTGAACTGCCGGGTTAATCTAATCTACGACCCCATTAGAATCATTACAAGTGAATGACAGCATCCCTACTGGGCTGAGATAGATACACACCGCGTTACACCGGCCATTCCTGCAGTCTCACAAGCTCGCGTATGACTCACACCCAAACAACAAGCGATATTCTAACAGACATGAACACAAGGAAATACCCATCTACGCATACTACAAACTAAACAAATTCCAAATCGGCCCCATAGCCAACAAATCCTCCATACTGACATCGGAGCCCACTCCATCCACATTAACTCCAACACCACCCCCAGAAGAAGCCGCCATCTGGGCCTGCTCCTGATTCCACCTCCATCTATCCATAGTAGCGCAACGCGCCTGATGCGCCTCTTTCCACATGATCGTCCTAGCTTTAATGTGGTTGAAGATAGGTGGGACATGCATATGTTCAGCCAACGCCTGCGCAACAGCTTCATCGACTTTGATCGAGAAAGTATCGACGGTGTCTTCGAAGCTTATTGTCTGCCGGGCCCACTCGCGGTCCCAGCAGCCCGTGGGGTCATTGTGAACGAGGAGGCGGGAGAGGATGGCGAGCCCGTGGCCGATTTGCGTCCAGCAGGTGTATGGGAGTTGGAGGTAGAGTATGGGTGGGATGGAGAGGAGGGTGTCAAATAGAGATCGTGTGGCGTTTAGACAGGCGCACAGGACGTCGATTTGGGTTAGAGGATAGTTGTTGAAGGTTGCGTCTCCGAAGTCGCGCTCTAGGGCTATGCGGTATAGAAGTATCTCTAGGGTATGGTAGTGTAGATTGAGAATTACTGGGGACATTGTTAGGTCCCGGGGGATTGGGTTAGGTTGATGGAGGGACGTACGAGATTGAATGAAATCACCCGAATATGAATCTTTGAGTTGCTGAAGTTCCTTCTGTAACCAGCGTATTGCCATGGTTTTTGGTGCTAGACCGGTAGGAATGTCCTTTTCGTGGTACTGGACAGCGCGATAAATTTTCTCGCCCAGGTGGGCTATACGGACTAGTTGAAGGAGGTATGGGTCGGTTTCACATTCGGCTGCTTCTTGAATTCTACGACAGCAGTCGTCTGTGGATGTCATATATTCCATGGGCTCTTTTTCTCCGAGGCATAATGAGAGCCTGATATGGTCAGCATCGAATGGTGTTGGATTGATGGTATGACTCACATATTGACCATATAGTAGCATCCAAGGTAAGCCCTCAGTTCCTCTAAGGTGCGGGAACTGCGCATGCGTTCATCATAATTGAAGACCCGGAGGTAGGAGAATACCGTGCCCGGAGTACACATTTTATTCTCCCGGTGGAAATCGAGGTTGATCACCTGCGCCTCCAGAATATGGAGATAGTTATTGATCATCGTCGAACGCGGCGCAGGCACCATGGTCTGCGTCCTGATGAAGTATCAGCATTTTGGATATCATAGTTGCATCTAAGTGCTCTCACCAGCCAAGGTACGCAAGGAATCCCTGAAGTAGATCCAAGCTATGCTCCCCGTTAGCTAGCATATGCTCCATCCAGTAATCTCTAGCTCTGATCGAATGAGCCGCCTGTGCAGATCCACGTTGACAGACAACCGCTGGAATAACCAAGTTCAAGAATGGCTTAATGGTGCGTAAATCATCAAGACCTATGCGAGGCGAGCGTATCACAAATGGAAGAAACCTTGAGATACGCTCATTGAAATCTGCGAGCATTTTCTCCACATCCTCATCTAATACAGGAGGAATGACCAAACCACTATCAGTGGCAGACAATGGACTAGGATTGCTGCCGCCGATGCTTTCTATGTACCTTTGTGAGGCCGTGAGTAGTGAAGTTACATCATCAAGCTTCTTTTCTAGTCGTCCAACGTCACTACTATAGGCGAGTCAGTAGCCATAAGATATTATGCATATCCACAACCACATACGACACATTATGCCGCTTTACCGTGTGCGGTTTTGAAGGCTGCCTGGTACATTCTTTCCCCAGGCGATGACATCTGGCTCCATCGTTAGTGCTTATCCTTGGGTTAGGTGGCCTCGTCCGTCTCTACCTTTGGCAAGCATCGGTCGGACCGGGGTCGCAGCGGACCTTGGCTTTGGAGCACGGCCTGCAGGCCTTGAGATGTCGAGCGTCAGGAGCGGACATTTCGGTCGGAAGCGGAACAGGGTGAAGGCGTGGTTGTGAGTTGAAGATGTGCAGGGAGTGAGATGGTGGTGGCGCCGGTCGGCGTAAGCGGCATCCCGCGTCCGTGTCGGTCTCCTTTAGCACCGACTATATAGATGTCAGATATGATGAACTTTACCCGCAATGTTTCAGTATTTAAATGTGATTTGATTTCCTTTTCCTTTTCTATGATTCATAAGAGCATATCCGACTTCTCTAAGGACCTCATCATCAACACAATGACTGTGACAGACGACTGCACCCACCGCTACCCAGAAACCGGCCTATCAGTCCTGATAGTCGGAGCCGGGGTCGCAGGACTGATGGCAGCTCTCGAATGCTGGCGCAATGGACATAACGTTAGGATTGTCGAGAGATCCCCCGAAGAAGTCACTACTGGTAAGTAATCTACTGTCTCAACCAATACAATTGAACTCATCGCAACTAACAAACCTACTAGGTGACTCGTTCACAATTGGCCCCAGTGCAACCCGCGCATTCAAACACTGGCCCAAGCTAGCCGAAGAGAACGAAAAGATTGCATTCGTGCCTGATATTGCCTTCTACACATTGAGTGGTGATCGTGTGACAAAGTCAAATCATATTGAATACAGACAGGACAAAGGGTCCAAGAAGGTGCCAGGGCAACTCACCCGCCATTGGAGGCCCCAACTTCACGGCATGCTTCTCAAGCAGCTCTATGCCATTGGGATTAGCGTCGAGTACGGATGTAGGGCGATGGATTATTTCGAGGAAGGCCATACAGGGCGTGCAGGTATAACATTGGAGAACGGTTGTCGAATGGAAGCAGACGTCGTTATTGCTGCCGATGGGTTGAGAAGCCATTCGACCAAGGTGACACTGGGACAGGAGATTCGGGCACGACCAACCGGACAAGCCTTGTATCGGACTGCCTTTCCCGTCGAGTTAGCCATGGCTGATCCAATGGTCCGAGAGAGGTTTCCGGTGGTAGGGGAGAAGGAAGGACCGATTGAATTTTGGGCTGGGTATGACCATACCTCCACAAAATATCTGTCTCCATTATGAAAAAAAGAAAATCATTCTAATTGACAAAAGCGAGCACTATCATTTCCTCGTCATTAGGACATCCGATATCATATCTTGGACTTTATCACACAAGGTGAGTGAGCCAAACATTTCGCTTTAACAACGAGACCAGAATATATCCCTACCCATTTTAGATCTTTAACACCGCAAATAATGTTAGGCCTACGAAAGCGCTACAGAATCCTGGGCCCACCGAGCCGACCCCGAAGACGTCTGCAAAATAACCTCAACCATCCCTAACTGGCCAGAAGTGGCAGATCGTCTAATCCGTCTGACCCCAAAAGACCGACTCCTTCACTTCCGCGTGATGTGGCGAGATCCCCAGCCCACATGGGTCTCGCCAGCAGGCCGTATCGTACAGATCGGAGATGCCGCACACACCTACATTCCGGCATCAGGTAATGGCGCAACACAGGGAATTGAAGATGCTGTCTCTCTAGCTACCTGCTTGCGAATGGCGGGGAACACTGAGCAAGCTCCCTGGGCGCTGAGGATCCATAATCGGCTACGGTATGTTTATTGCTATCCTCCTCACGAACCCCGGAAAGATGATTGGTTGGTTCTCGCTGATAACTGATTGGATCCACATACAGCTTCGTCCGAGTCTCTTGTCTCCAAAAGCTAGGCCTCATCAATCTCAAAAGCTACTCCGAAAAGCCCAAGAAAGATAACTTCACACCGAAGGGGCTCCAGTATCTAACAGCGGAGTGGATCTGGGGCCATGAGCCGGAGAAATACGCCGAGGAGAACTACAGCAAGGTACTAGATCATTTGCAGCGGGGCACTCCGTTCCAGGATACGAATATACCCCGCGGTCATGTGTATCGAGACTGGACAATTGATGAGATGTTGGAGATGCAGGAGAGGGGGGAGGAGATTGAGTTGGATGGGGAGTGGGAGTAAATGCATTGCTTTTTGGTCTGGCTTTTATTTTTCATAGATCATATTTATACTTATATGCACTTAGCTTGCCATGTTAGGCAGTATTGTCTACCTTCTATAGATGAAGGACATTATGATGCTTTAGAAATATAGAATAAATGCAATTGGGAATCATGTACAACTCTCAACCGAAACACATCATATATACAGACAAAAACAACATCACTTCCTAGATAGCGATTCGACACCATTGGTCATCTACCACCGGCGGTACTATCCACATCGTTAGCAGAAGAATAGAAACAAGTCTGTACCATATTTAACACACCTCAGGAGGTCCCGGAGGCGGAGGACCGGGAGGGCCAGGACGGTCCCAAGGCCCCGGTGGCCCAGGAGGGCGACCATGAAGACCACCAGGGCGATCCCAGGGGTCTCTAGGTCCCGGAGGAGGGGGAGGTCCCGGGGGGCCACCGGGGCGGTCCCAAGGGTCTCTAGGGCCTGGCGGAGGAGGTCCAGGAGGGCCGCCAGGAGGGCCACCAGGACGGTCCCAGGGATCTCTTGGTCCCGGAGGAGGAGGACCGGGAGGACCACCGGGGCGACCCCAGGGGTCTCGCTGATCAGGAGGAGGACCATGAGGGCCAGGAGGTCCAGGAGGCGGAGGACGAGCCCAGGGATCTCTGGGATCATGAGGGGGAGGACCGGGAGGGCCAGGTGGCGGGCCACCAGGACGGTCCCAGGGCCCAGGGCCTGGAGGAGGAGGGCCTTGAGGCCCGGGAGGAGGGGGATTGTTGTGATGGTGGTGATGCGAGAAGAGACCCATTTTGGATAGGTTGTGAGGATGGTTGTTGTTGTTGTCTAAGGATGGAGAAGGTTAAGGTCTTAAATAACTTCCACGTTGCTTTAGATTTGGGCGGCGGGGTGGGGACCGGGCCACAGTAGGCAACGCCTTTCTTCAAGCAGAAGTGGGACACTGAATTCTCCATAGTACTTCGTAATTATAGCATAGATGACATTGGTCGGTATGGGGCTCTTTTGTGGCTGGATTGCTACTGAATACTATGGGTATGAGACGGCGGTTCTATGTTCAACCCCTCCGTTCTCCTCCGCGTTTGACATTGCGTCCCCATCATTCAAAGTATCAGGGGGGAGGGGAAATGTAAACAATGTTGCCTATCAGGGGCTGTCAATGTGCATCGGATGCGAGTCTAATCCATGGTTAGACTGGGAATATTATTCTGACGGGGCCCCTCTAATACCAAGTTTAGGGTTCGTAGTCTCCATAGTTTTGGTACGTGGTTCCTGACAAGCCCGCTGTGGCATATTGTGCTGGTGGGAACCTCCTCTTTAACTGTGGATATTGATCACTAAGATGAGAAAGTTGTCATGAATTATTGTATCCCATCGTGTCCAGGATTACTCGCAATTACTCGTGCCTGATATCATTCCGATTTCCGAAGTAAAAAGTGGCCACACGTCGGGTTCGGTCGACATCCCCACGAGAGCGTTTAGGGCACAATTAGCGCCTCCAAGTGGATCGAAGCATACGTATGGCCCCCCACTATCGCCTCAGCCTTGGGAAGGTTGATGTGCATGATCAATTCATTCGGCTGTTGTTCGAGAAGACTTCCAGAGGCTAAGCCACATCATCGTTTCGAAGACAGCACGCTGACGTGTTGCTTATCTGGTCCGCATCCATGCAGGTGTCAATCCACCATGACAGTCACATCGCTGAGCTGAACACATCAATGATATCAAGTCGCAGCAATTTGAAAGCCTCCGGGTATAGTTTTATCCGTTTGGCTTTTCGCCTCAAACACGAGGCATGGTGTCCGTCGATTATTTTAGTGAAGTTGGTAAAGTGTTCACAGTATCCGTAAAGGGGGAGCAACCCCTGTAAACCGGTCCACCAGGATCACCCGTGCATTAAACTCCGAGTGTCAAGCCTACAATCTAACGAGTCTCTACACGAAGCATAATGTCTATAAGAGCACTAATATGAAAATGTGTAAGATAATGACTGTCAGTGATGAAGGCGCTCTCAGAGCGTCCTGAAAATCCCTAAATCTGGAACAAATGATATTTATGTACATGCATCTCATTCTTCGTCTTCCTCGTCACTCACTTCCTCGCCAGCTTCGATAGCCTCTTGTCTCCTCTTCGCCGCAAGTTCCCTCTTGCGCTCTAGCAGCTTTTTCAATCTCTTGGCCGAACTGAATAATCCATTCGTGGCGGATCCACAGGCTGCGCAGCTTGGGTCCTTCCTGTATCTTTGCAGAGCACACTGCTCGCAGAAATAGTGACCGCATTTCGTGACAATTGGCTCCCTATATGGCCCCTTGCAGATAAAACAGGCAAACGGAATGTCTTCCAACATGGCCTCTTCATCGTCGTCCTTATTCTCCGTCGTTGTCCGGTCGGCACTCGCAACCACTGTTCCCTTCAATTGTTTGCCCTTGGTGACGGTCTCCCACTCTCGATCCAGTTCCCATCCTTGTTTGTAGTCGCTTCGATCGTGAAGGAATTTACTATACAATAATAGTTAGCATATGCTTCAGTAAGATGAGCTGCTCCCTCTTGAGTGGCAAATGTGTATGTCGAGAGAAAGGGGCGACGGCACTCACCAATTATCACCGAAACCACAGAATCCAGTCTGCTTGTAGTCCTTGCACACATCTGGAGAGTAGTCCGTCACTGTTATAGTACGGATATTGGTTGCTGCCTTGATCGGTCCGAATGACCTGTTCGGCGCATTCGGATTCTTCTTGAAGAATGATGTCTGGTTCGCCAGTCCCCTATATGTGCCATCCGGCATTTGCGGCTCATTCGAAGCAGATTGCGGTTTCGATGAACGCGCATCCTTAGAATCCTCGTCAAACCAGTCGACATGTTTTGTGGCGTCGTTCGTATCCGCAAGCTGGACTTTGCCGTCACCGGTGGCGGTGGCCGCAGGTTCCCGATCGACAGGCTTGGTAGTCGCAGATGAAGCAGAGACAACCCCAGCACCCTTGTTCTTTCTGCGCTTTATTCTGTGACCCGATTCGTCTTCAGAGGAGGAAAAGTCGGAAGAATCGTCGTCTTGCGATACGGGAGGCGGTGCTGGTCTTTTGCGGATGTTCTGACTCGCCTTTGCGCCGCGCTTTTTGAATGTGACAACCGGCGGTTGGGGGTCCGGAGCTGCAGCTGCAGCTGCAGCTGTATCATTTGTCGTCTCAGCCATTGTGATATGAGCGACGGGCCTGCGACGGAAGTCTATGGAGTTGATGCGAGATGAGAAATGACCGAGCACATCAGGACGCGATAAACGTTGATGCGCTCGGATCATGTGATGATAAGATAGAGTTGCTCCTCACGTGATACGCGATTGTTGTATCTGCTGATGTCATCATCGAAGACGCGCGAAACTTCCTGAGCAACTTCTTTCTCATCATCAATTGGTGAAAGAGAATTTGTACACCGAGGACCAGATCCGCTGTAACCATGTTTGCCCGATCGACGCATTCAGCAGAGCATATGCGCGGCGTCATGGCGCAGGTGCGTCAGCCTTGTGCTGCGCCACGGCAGGTGCCACCGAACTGGTGGTGAAGCGCGGATCATGTGTTCCCAGCATAAACTTGACGATTGCCGGGTGGTTAAAACTGTAAATAGAATTGCTGATGACAGTTGCCTAATTGATTGCGATCATTATGATCTTATGCTCTCTCAACGATGGTTAATCAGTGTGACAAAAAGTGATAAGACCCAGAAAGTTCGCTCAACCTGGGAATCGAACCTCGGACCTTGTGCATGCAAAGCACACCTTAACCACTGGGCCAGTCGGGCACAACCATGGTTAGAAATTAGATCCTCTCCTCGAGCAGTTATATGGGGAAGAGAGTCGAACCCTGAACCCGGGTGGTCCCTGCCTGCTTGACATACTTTGTGGATCCTGCTAAACTCTTCCGATCCCACGGCACCCAAACTGGGGATCTTCAGAGGCGGTGCTCTGCTGCTCATCATGACTTCGCTCCGCCTCTCTTCGCGGAATAAATACCCTCGACCTTCTCCTCCCCTTGGAGCTTTCCCTTCTTTATAACAGATAGATTCTCCTCTCCTTCAGAAGCATCATGTATCCCCATCATAACCGTACGTGATGCCCCACAGTGTCCCCGCGTTCCTGCATCATGCTGATCGCTTCATCACAGGCCCTCCATATCCTCCTTACACAGGCCCGCCGCAGGGCTACAATCAACAACCGAACCCATCACCATTTCCTCCTCAGAACCAGCAACACATGGCCTCGCCGCCTTACCCGAACCAGCCTGGCTACCCTCCCTACGGCGCTCCACATCCCAATCAGCCTCCATATCCTAATACCCCACCGGGCGCTCCTCCAGGTCGACAAGATATGTACCACGGGGGTCCACAAGGGTATTCGCAAGGCTTGCCTCCTCCCCAAGGCGCTCCTCATGGACCTCCACAAGGTATGCCTCAAGGATCATTCGGTGCAGCACCTCCCTTTCCACCTCACCCCGCCGCTCCACCACACCCTCAACTTTATGCCCCGCTTGCATCCGTGCCATCGTTGGGCTACGTTCGAGGTCAACAAGCAAATGGAGACTTCCGACCCCAAGCCGATCAGCTCCGTCGCGCAATGAAAGGCTTCGGGACAGACGAGAAGACCCTGATTCAGGTTCTCGCCAAGCTAGACCCTCTCCAAATGGCCGCCGTACGATCCACCTACACACAGCACATCCGACGAGATCTCTACAAGGATGTCAAAGGCGAGACAAGCGGCTACTTTCGTCGGGGTCTCCTAGCCATCATTGATGGCCCGTTGCAGTACGATGTAGCCTGCGCCAGAGAAGCTGTCGAAGGCATTGGCACGAAGGAATGGCTTCTCAACGACATCCTTCTATCCCGGTCCAATGCTGATATGAACGCCATAAAGGCCGCTTATCAGCAAACATACCACCGCGCTCTCGAAAAGGACGTTGAAGGTGACTTGTCATTCAAAACCCGGAATTTGTTCTCCCTGGTTCTTCGCGCCACTCGACACGAGGAATCAGCCCCATTAGACCCGCAACTTATCGAAGCAGAAGCCAAGTCTCTCCATCAAGCAACGGCTGCGCGAATGGTCAACAATGTTGATGAAGTATGCGGTATAATAGCCAGGGCCTCGGATAACGAGCTTCGTGCTATCAATCATGCGTTCTATACCCGGTACAATATCCACTTGACCAAGCATATCGAGAAAGAGTTTTCTGGACACATGAAGGATGCACTGTTGCATATGCTCGGTGCTGCGTTGGATCCGGCCATGCACGACGCGGAGCAACTCGAAGACTGCATGAAGGGGATGGGAACCAAGGACGAGAAACTGGTGACCAGAGTAGTCCGCATACACTGGGCACCTGGGCACTTGGATCAGGTGAAACGGGCATATCGCCATCGGTTCCAGAAAGATCTTATCGAGCGGGTCAGGGGGGAGACGAGTGGTGATTACCAGCGATTGATGGTGGCGTTATTGCAGTAGCAGTACTTCCTTTGCTAGCGCTCTTCTTAATGTTTACTCGACGAAACAGCCATGGCTTACGACTGGGTACGGGTATGGTATGGTGCGGCTGGGTTTGTATTTGTAGTTTTCATGGGCGATGATAGACTGGGCTGGATGGCTACCTCTCGGTTCTTACTTAGTTTACTGGATGGCGGTGATTATCATCAACGCGAGTTAATTCTACTCAGCTAGTTCCCTTCAATAATGAGACCATCAAGATTGATTCTCTACTGTGAATCTAACCTATCATAAACTTTTATCTTCGATCTGGGTCGCCCCCTCCATTAGCACCTCAGAAGCCTCACACAGAAAACAGACTCTCATTAATAGATAGACAGTTGTACAGATATATGCATCAAAGCTAAGACATCTACTCAGAGCCTATAACCAAACTACTAAGCTCATAACCCCTTCCTCAGTCATCAACTCATTCATTCATTCATTCATTCATTCATTCATTCATTCATCACAAGTAACAACATATACTACATACAAACATATGTCATGAAACATCCCATCGTCAGTCAATGAACCATAAACGAACCGAGCGAAGAAAAACACAGAAACAGCAACAATATGCAATGAACCCGAACTGTCACCACCACCAACACCACCATCATCATCATCGTCTTAAACCACCTCCCCCGCAACAAACACATGCGCCCCCGGAAACAACCCCGTCAACCCAGCATAACACCCCCAGTACCAATCATCATTGATATTCTCTGCCTCAGTGATTTCTGCGCCGCGCGGAAACATCAATTCATCTTTGACTCCGTCTTCGGGGTACCATGACCACAGGGCATGGACGACTAATCCGACGCCGCCGTCGGGTGGGTAGCGGCGGGTGTTGGTCGGAGTCATCATCGTAGTATTAGGAGTGGTGGGGGGAGATGATATCTGTGAGGTTATAGCTGGGTTGGATGTGGTGAAGGGGGAAGGTGTGGTGATGGTGGGTGTGCTTGGTTCGGAGGACCGGTCACGATCACGATCACGATCACGATCACGGACACCGATAGTCCAGGGTCTAATGCGCGAGGCCTTTTTGCGTCGCTCGGAGCCCTCTTTCCAGCTCCAGTCGCCGGAGCCGACTTCGGGGGAGGCGATGGTGGAGTTGGAAGAAGAAATAGCGGTGATTGGGGAGGCTGCTGGAGAGGAGGGTTGGATGAGGTGGTCGTCGTTCAGGGCACGGCCGCCGACGAGGTCGCGGAGGACGACGCGGCGTTGGCCTTCTTCGTGGTCTTCGAAGCCGATTACCGCCATGCGATGGCCTTTTAGGCAGCGGCGCCAGCCGTTGTGGCCGTTCTCTTTACGGATCTTGCCGATGGCCACGAGGCGGAGGTAGCAGTTGGTGCAGATGTCGTAGTCGCCGTTGTTGCATTGGAGGCAGTGGAAGCGGGGAGTGGAGTCTGGGATTGGGTGTGTGCAGATGTCGCAGTTTGTTGCGATGGAGAGGATCTTGTAGGTTTCGAGAGATGGGGAGGGTGTGCTGTCGGTTGCGGTGGGGGATGGGTTGCTGTTGGGTGGGATGCGGCAGATTGGGAGAAGAGCATGGGTGCAGCATCGTCCTTGGTTCACGCAGCGGTTGCAAAAACCCCAGTCACCTTCATTGCACTGGTCACACTTCCAGTAACAGTCGTTGGCTGGAGATTGGCAGCTATCGCAGAAGAAGCCGGTGGTTAGTCTGTTTCCTGGGTCGTCGGTGGTCAGGACTCGTCCGTCTCGGTCGGAACGGTAGGCTGTGTCTGGTGCTCGACGGTACTTGCACGACAGTAGGATGTGCTGCTGGGAGCTGCGTAGTGGTGGGGGATGGCCGCTTGAAGAAGCGATAATGCGTTCAAAGCCCGCTTCTGCCGATCTTGCGAAGCCTGCCCATTCGAGACATCCTTCGCCGGTGCGATAGCACCTCAAACACAGGTTGTATTTGCCATCATTGCATTTGGGGCACTTCTTGTGTAGATCGTATTGTATCTTCTCCTTGCCACATCGGTCGCATGAAATAGACGGTTCACTGAACGTGATAGCAGAGCGAGGCACATTGGACCGAGATGAAGATGGTCGAGATCGCGTCTCTGATCTACCGGTTCCTCCAACTTCTGCCACTAAGGAACTGGTCACAGGGACGACCATCCCAGGGCTCGCTGGCGAGGAACCAGTGTGTGTGTTCTGCTCAAGAGCTGCAACCACTCGTGGTGAATCGATGGATAACCTCCCCGGGGCTCGTCGGATGGCACGTTCCCTGGTGCCTTCCACCCAGATGTTCGGAGTATTCTGCTCAGACGCCGTAGCACGCCGAGACCGTGGCACGGATGAATCCGTTCGCACTCGGGCAGCCTGCGAATTCCGGGGTCGATCAGTAATCACATCACTAGACGACCGCGCTGCAGGCCTCAGCGTGACCTCCGATGAAGACGCAGGATTCGCAGGCACAGGAGACGTTCGCCGGCGACTGCTGCCCTGATCCGACAATCGTCTCTGATGACCCGAAGCTCCATTGCGTGCCACAAGCGGATCTAGCAGATACGGTCTCGACACAGGAGGACTCCGACTAGACTCGGTCGGCGTAGAACTTTCCTGTGGTCTCTGCGTAGACTGCGAGCGAGCCCGAGCCCGTGACGACGGTTGATGTGTCTCCCGAACCTCCAACCGTTGCTGCGAGCGAGACCGCAATCTATGCCTCCGACGATAAGCATCAGCGATGCGCTCACTAAGCTCCTCTTCCTGCGCGGGAGCCAGATTATCCAAGTCGATATCATCCAGCAGCCCCTCCTCCAGAATCTGCCGTAGAATCTGGTCCTGTATCGTTTCCGTATCCGACAGACTCAACAACGACCGCAAACTAGACTGATGCTCGATGTGTCTATTGCGTTCCGAAACAGTCTCCCCCTGCCGTCGCCGCGCAGCACGCTCCTCCTCACGCCGTCGTTGTCGCGCCCCATCCACATCAGCACTCGAATCCGTGCGACGAGTCCGCGACGACTGCCTCGACCGATAACCAGTAGCAGCCGTAGTATCTCTCGTCCGAACCCGACTCTCCTGCAGACTCAATTCCCTTACCTCCTCCAACAACCGCCGATCCTCATCATCCGACGCATCGCTCCCCCGTTCAGCCGAAGGCAAAGTAGGAAACACCGAATCACCATGTTTATATCTCCGCGCAATTTCCTCCTTCTCCTCAGCCGACTTATCCCGGTCGGGACTCGCCGCCAAAACCATATCCAGTAATGTGGTGACGGTAGCATTAGGGCGGGTTTCGCGGACAACCGCGCGACAGGACGGACATGTGAACCGGACGGATGATGATGACCGGGCGCGGGACGCTTGTGCAGAGAACCATTCTTTGAGACAGGAGCCGCAGAAGGTGTGCAAGCAGTCCAGGAGGGTGAGAGGCTGGTAGAGCAGATCCGTGCAGATCTGGGGAGAGGGATGAGTTAGCCGTTAAACTTTATTAAACTGCAGAGAAACAATCCGAGTATTCCTCTTTTTGCTTCTGGCCTGTCCAGCATCTACTGGGAATAATTTCCGGCCAGTTTTGGCTAGTCGATCAAAGCAAGGGGACGGTGAGATATTCGTGGGCGGGGAGTCGCAGACCGCATTCCGCAAATCTCCCCACATGATGGAGGAATGGAATGGATTAAACTTACCGAGCAGGTGAGTTCTTTCTCCAGGTCCCCTAGACCGGGACCGGGGTGGGGGTCGGTCGACATAGGGATGCTGGTTGGAGAAGAGAAGCTAGATAGATGTGTTGGAAATATTGAAGAGGAAGAGAAGAAGCGAAGGATGAAGAGAAGAGAAGAAGAAGTAAAAGGTAATTGACAGGGCGAGTAAACAGGCGGTGGTTGGAGAGCGAATCAATCGATCGGGCGTCCCGCGGGTCGATCGCGGCTCGGATCCACTGAAGAACCAAGTTCATTAACCATATCATTTCATCATTCTACACAATCACTATAATCGCTAAAATGGAACAAGATACACGACTATTCTGCTAATACACTCAGTCCTTGCCATATCCCTCCTTCTCCCAAAACCAATGATACAAACTCTTCGCACTACCATCATCCTCGACATAATCCCCCACCATCTCCGCCGTCTCATTCGAATCCGCCAAATCACTCGAAGTCATATCGACCGTCACACCCCCAGCCTGGTGACTCAGGACTTCCTCCGTGCCACTCCGCGTTCGCTCGGCCAAATCACGAGCACCCTCACGGGCAGCATCAGCAAATTCCTCCGCTTGTTCGCGAGCTCGCTGAAGCAGCTCCTCCGGCGTAGGATACCTCCGAAGCGCAATCAACAAAAGATAATAACTCTTCACAATAGCCGAATACACCGCATCCTTCGCGAGCATCGTAAACCCATGCGAGAAGAAGCCCTTGAGCACCTCCCCGGGTAGCCCGGCATAAAGCGCAGCAACACCTTCAGTGCGCGCAATCGCAACCACAGTACTGACAATCGCCGGCATCAACGACACCCCTTCATCCTCCTTCTTCTCCCCATCAGAAGTCACCGTAGTCTGACTCCCCGCAACTTGCGCCCGCGTCTTCGCCATCGAAAACGGATAAGTCACCGACGAGGCAATCGACTTGCTGACCGCCGCCAAGAAGAACGTCGCCACAGCAGACGGTCTCTTCTGCCGCTGATTCCTCGGCAACAAGGCATACTTGAACACAGCGTTCAAGAAAAACGTAATCGACGGATTAAGCGTCAGTATCAACGACGCCGAATATCCAGACCAAAACCCCCGTAGTCCCTTCTCAGCCCTAATCCGCGCAGCAATCTCCCTCGTACCACCATCAACAGAAGCCTTCGCCGTCTGCTTCCTTGCCACAATATTCGCCAACGGCGTCGTAAACAACTTCGCAAACGCCCCTGCCAGGACCCCCACCGCTAACTCATCTAGCACCGGTAAAACCGTATGTTTGCTCCGGCGCGTATTCCCAAACCGGGCACGTATCCTCCGCTGGCGAAAGAACTCGTACGCAAGGAAGAAGAGAAACGAATCCGCAACGGATTTTATCGTATCTTGCGCTAGACCCGTGTAAAAACTGGTGATGCCTTCCTCGGCGTAGATCTTGCGAGCTGCGTCAATGACGCTGGTATATTCAGCATCCGACTCCGACTCTGTACCCTTTCTGACCTTCTGCGTCTGCAATCGCGTAACGATCAAACTCAACGGATACGTAGCGACGTTCGAGAGTGCGGAGCCGACTGCACCCGCGACGGCATTACCCAGCGCCGGAAGTGCAGGCCCGCTGAGAGCGGCGCGCTTCCAGTCTAGGTTCGGCTGGCGTTCTTCGTATCGGTGGTAGAGCTGGAAGGAATCCTTTTCATATCAAGATTCTCATTAGCATTCTTTCTATCCCATCCCATAAGAATAAAAGGAACATTTGATGACATCATTGATAGGAACTTACCAGCTCCGAATCATACTCCACCTTGTATTCTGACATAGTGATTCAACGCGTCTTATGGGATATTCAAGTAAAAGGTAATTTGACTTCGAAGATGATAAGTAGTAAGGGGGAGAGAGAGAAGATATTCTTCTATTAGTAGTGTGCAAATTGACTATTATCTAGTCAAGTGACTGACCCGATAGGACAATCAACGCTGGATGGCTAGCTAGAAGATGCATGTCGGGTGTGCATCAGACCACCCAGTCTTGCACAGCTCCTGAGTTCTAGCAGGTAGTAGGCAGGTAAGATACAGTGATATATGATATGATGTGATGGGTGCTTGTGCCGACCGAGGTTAGTTCTTCTCTCTGTGCTACCGCATGCTTCCAGACCCTTACGTCATGTGGGAGGTGGCCTGTGCGGGGTGACATGTGATCGGGTGATTCTCTGCTTTGTACAGACTACAAGATTCCTAATTATATGCCTGTGCTATAATCATATTACGATTAGAAAAGCAGATAGCGAAGAATAAGTATCAGCGATCATTCACGTGATATTTCGTCCATCAAGCCTGAAAAGGCCGTCTAGATACAGTAATTTCCGATCCATCCATCCAGACCCCATTAACAAGAAATAAGAGAAATTGTAGAGTATCAAACCCGTGGACATAATCCAGTCCAATTAAAGAAAATCCCAGTCATCCCTAACCCCAATACCATAACGAGTCAAGAAAAGAAATAACCCCCAAAAACCAGAAACGAAATGCACGGCGGATCCTGTCGGTCTAGTTCCACCGCCAGTAGAAGATTCAAGACCAGAGACGGCAAACACCAAAACAGTGATCCTTTCGAATGGTTGAAAGCAATTTAACCACCGAAACCGTACAGGGTACGGCCCTGGCGCTTGAGGGCGTAGACAACGTCGAGGGAGGTGACGGTCTTGCGCTTGGCGTGCTCAGTGTAGGTGACGGCATCACGGATGACGGACTCGAGGAAGGACTTGAGAACACCACGAGTCTCTTCGTAGATCATGGCGGAGATACGCTTGACACCACCACGGCGAGCGAGACGGCGGATAGCGGGCTTGGTGATACCCTGGATGTTGTCACGCAAGATCTTACGGTGACGCTTGGCGCCACCCTTGCCGAGACCCTTGCCTCCTTTTCCGCCTGTAAAAGAATGTTAGTATGTGTTGAGTGATATTTTGTTTCATCAAGCAATAAGAGTATGTGAGGGTGGGGTGAAGATCAGATGAAATCTTGGACACGACGCGTGGGCGTGACAGGTACGCGGTCACGTGTCGCCAGGGGTGCATCATCAAGATCATCCAAGATCATCACCACCATTCGACCCGAGAGTAGGGTAACGACGAGGGACTAGTAGTCGAAGCAAGTAAAGAGGATAAAATACTTACGTCCAGTCATATTGCTGAGATGAGATTAATTGATGGAAGGATGAAAGAGATGGAAGATTGATGGAAGTGGTGGGTGGTTTGGCGTGACGCGTTGCGGGCCGGTCGCTGAGAGGAAGAAAAGAGTCGAGAGAGAGCGAAAGAAGGTGGCGGAGAAGGAGGAGCCACCGGTTTATATAGGTTTCGCGGCGCGGGCGGCAAGCGAGAGCGTGATTTCGCTGCTTTGCCCCTTGGAGTGAATGACTAAGCCCCAGAGGGTGATCTGGAAGGGTCAAAAGCAATGGAGAACCCTGATTGGCGGGCCGCGGGGGTGAAAAAGGGCGTTATGAACGACCGCTTTCGAGGTGGTGATTTTGCGGGTTGCGGGTTGGTGCTGTTCCCGCTGGGGACCGACTTCTGCTGCTGCCCGCGCGGCTCAGGCCGTAAGGCTGCGGGTCCATCACGTGAGACTCGGCGGCCGGATGTCACTTCCTCGCCAGTATACAATTTTGAATATTCGGAACTCGACTCTCTACATCGTGTGGCAACTTTCATCTCTCGCAATCTAATCAATTGTATTGTGTACCATTGCATAATCTGGATAGCAGCTACACGCGCTTCACGGACCCTCCCTGGAGCACAGCAATTCGAATAAAAATGGGAACCCATGCACCACCCACCCTAAGCAAACTCGCAGGAATCATGAGCGTAGAGAAAGAATTAAGACATAAGGTACAGGAAACAAATAATTCAGGCTCCGAACACCATACAGAAACTCATCATTGACGGAAGTAGATGACGAAAAACAATGATGCAAATGCGTTAGACCACTTCAATGCGAACACTTTTCCTTGCTTCGCCTCCTCGCTTCCCTTGGAAATGCTGCGCATGAACCTACCATGCATTCCATCCACTCAGCACAGGTAGCTCCGGTAAATAACTGACAAGAATAACTGGAAAGGAAAGATACAAGACATCAAATCGTAATCGTTACTGTAGCAGAATCGTAGCCGCCGCCCAATGTATTGAAGAAAGCCCCCCCCCTGTGTTGTATAGGTAGAAAACGATGCGCATCCCAGCATAACGTAAGATCCCGCGGTTTATAATACATCGCAAAGGATCCTCGTTGATACCGAGGCAAGCGCGTCAATGAAAGTTGAGTCGAATATTGGAACGAGGCGGCTTCATGGCGACACCAGGTAAGCAGGTCAAATTGACAACTGCACTGGGGTTTCGAAGTTTCAAGTCATGCTTGATAGACTTCAGAATGCTTATCCCGCGTGGGGAAAAAAAGAAAGAGGAAGAAAACATAGAAATAAAAATTGCCGTGGCATCCATCAATGGAGGGACACAAGAGACACGTTAAAAGCAAATGACGTTCGCGTGTGATACCGTATGCTGCGGGGTCTAAAGCGATTATGCATCTTCCTTCATCCTTGGATGATAGCAGGTGTCTGCGTATCCTTCAAAAAGCTGTTCTGCATAGGCTGAAGGTATCCATATCCGATATGGTTCGGTGACGATGGAGCGGCAGGAGAGTGTCGAGAATCGCCACCATAAACCGCATCCATGCGAGGAGATGAGCATGGAGACACCGAGCTGGAACTGCTACTAGAGCCCGACCGGGTCTCATAGTCCGGACTTGCCGTGACAGGACCGACTGCACCATTTGGGTAATTCATCGATCCGGATCCGAAGAAACAGTATTTATCAACCAACTCTTTGTACACCGACGACTCGCGATGCGGCTTGCCAGAAACGATGGTAGAGGGTTTATGGTGGTCTGGGGACCCCGGCTGCTGGCTACCTCTGCTAGGCAAAGGCGCGTTCTCCTCCTTCTGGCTTGTTCTCCGTTCCGACGAATGGCTATGACTACCATGCGACGGAAGTTTCGATTTTGCTCGAGCTGTCAATGTCGTGCGATCGTGAGTAGGCTTGGTCCGCATAGCTGCCGTCAATGAGGCTTCGAAATCGTAGCGATTCCCAAACACCTGGTGGTTTTGCTTATCGCGACGGATCGGAGCAACCAATTCAACGTCATGCGGATCATCATCAGCCAAATGCTCCTTCTTGCCATTTGTTGGTGGGTTGCCAAACGAAATGTACTTGTCCATCTCAGACAACGCATCAAATGAAGGCGGCATTGAGTGTGGGCGGCTGATAGATCCAGCAAAGCTCCTGCTCCTCGGCAAATTTGTACGAGGACGCGTTGGTGGAGCCTGGGCCTGGGGCATTTCTTTTGGTACTCTGCGAAAGTTGACTTGGTAGTTTTCTGAGTTGTTGTTGTCCCAATACTCCTCTCCAGCAACATTGTAGCGAACGCAGATAAACATGGTTTTCCTCTCCAAATTTGCCTGATCATCCAGCCGGATACTAAAAGCAAACCTATCATAGCCATCCTGAATAGGCTTTCGTCGAGGGTCGTCATTGTACTCAGCGGAGACTTCAGAAACAGTCTTCCAATTATCAAGAGTGAACCGAGCGGCAACGTGCTTGTGGAAAGCCAGGTTGGCAACCCCAACGACTCCGATCATGGTGTTTTTATCCGAAGACAAGTGCAGGCGTTCCAATCGAACGCGTTGCTTAGCCCGAGAGGAGCTGTCTTTGGGGAAGTTCGACAGACCCAGCTCCCACTCAAAAGCGGGCATGTCCCGATGACCCTTCTTGAACGGAAATTCCTCTGCTGTGTCAAAGTCCTCCACTGGTGATGTGTCGGCACTCACGGCTTGAGGCTTATCCAATTGTAGAAAATGACGAATATGTTCCAGCTGAGCGTCGAAGTGAACAGCCTTTGCGTAAGTTGGAGTCCCCGGCATGCTAGATGGGCGCCGCCGAGCCGAAGGTGGGCGAAGGGCTGGCCTCACCAGTTCTCCAGACTTCTTGCGGACCATGGGATGCCTGACCGGGGGCTCATCATCTCTGTCACTTTCTTCTGGAGAGCTAGTCAAAGCCTCCTCCTGCCTACGGTCAATTGAGGTTTCTGTAACCGATCGAGAGTGGGATATTTTGCGAGCCTCTCTGGAGAGGGGGGGTCGTGGAGGTTGGACTGGGCCACCAGCAATGGCTGCCATGCTCGATGAGGGCTGAACCTCCGACGACTGCCTCTCCGGTGAAGATACTCGTCTCTGTTCAATGGACCTCACCGCAGCCTCCAATCTCTTCAGCTGGAGCCCGTCCTGGGATGGGTATGCCGCCTCTTCATCACTTGAATTGTTGGCAGATTCAGGTGGTGAGATCAAAGCCCCAGGAGGGATGACAGCATCACTTATGGGAGGTGGCGACGTTCGAATACTGGCATGCGGGTCGCTGACATGATCCACTTTGAAACGACCGTCGGGCTCTGGAAAGACAAACACCTTGCTACTCGAAGGGCTTCGTCGGTGCCTTCGCACATAAGAGGTGGAAGAATACGAACGAGGCAAATGCTGGCGTTGAGGATGAGAGACGACAGCGGTGGGGGAGCTAGGACAGGATTGTGGAGTGAGTTCAGAGTGTTCAATGTGCTGCGCAGAAGGCGACGTCTTCAACGGCGCAGTGTATGGCATCCGGCCGGGATTGCTTGTATAAGCAGACACAACAGCGGGCAACGAGGTGGAAAATAAGGTCGACAGGATGATGAAGCTCGTTTCAGGAAAGGTCTTTATGAACAGAAGGCTTCTAGTCCTGAGAAACGGCGTCTGTTGTTATATTCTGATTCCCCACGTTAGCCAAAGTGTGGAGGCGGCGCCTGGAAGCGATATCAAACAGTGGCGAGGATGATGAGCAGCAGCATTGCCTCCACATGGGCGATCATATCAAGGAAAAGGAAGATGGAGGGCTGGTGTTGCAAATCATGCCAGACGGTCGGTAAAAGAAGACAAGAAAGTGGTGTGACTGGTAGGTCAGGGTGTTCCAAGGTATCAGAAGGAGCGTTGGAGGCAAAGCCGGGGGGGGGCGCGCGGCGGAGGGCGGATACAGCCAACAGGGTGTTACGAGACAAAAAGATCCCGGGCAGTGGCACAGATGGCAGCAACGATCAAGATCCCAGACACACAAATCATCGCTTGGATTGAATTGGGGGCAGTCGGGGGAAGAATAGGCATGCGATAAGAAGGATGGATTCAAAAATCAAAAGAAAGGGACGACGATTCAACGGCACACTCACCTTGCGGACTCGACATCTAGTATGGACTGATCGTGGAAGAAACTACAAACATGGAAGAAAAGAACAAGAGGAACAGAGAAGACAAATACGAAGCTGGCAGTGTGTCGAACAGCCGAGCAAGGAGTAGTATCAAGCACAGTGAAGAGGGATTAGATACAAAGAAGTTCGTGGTGAATCGAAAGAGAAACGGGTGATGGAAGGATGGGTAATGGAGTATATGAGAAGGTGACGGAGTGGAGAATGAGGAAAATATTAGGGTAAGCCGCACTTGACGGGGAAAGTAAAAAAAATAAAAAAGAAAGAAAGAAAGAAAACTAATTTAGAAAAGGTAAAAAGAAAAATCAAAAACAGAAATAAGCATGGAAGTTGGAAAAGAAAAATGAAAAAGAATAAAAAAAAAAGGATGGTCCTCTTAGGAATGATATTGATAAGGGAGCTCGGACGTCAAGAGGGATCGAAGGCAAGGAAAATTCGGTACGTCCTGGTAAAGTTGGTAACCTTCAGCCAGGGAGGGGCAAAGACTGAAGGAAATGCACTGCTCGGATTTCCCCTCTCCGTTCAACTCGGGGGGGGGGGGGAAGAGGGACTTGCTTTTCCCCTGAAGGTGAAATGAAATATACCAAGTTAGTTGAAAGGGAGGTCTGTTCACCTTGATTTTTAATTTTTTCGTCTTTTTATTTTCCTATCTATTTATTTATGTATTTATTTATTTATTGTATTTACTCGCATGTATTGTTTTGCTTGTCGTCTAGCATGGCCACCCCTCTTCTCTTACTCTTCTTTCATGTCTAGGAAGGGAGGGAGGGGGGGAATGTTTTGTGATGACGACCGTTGGAAGAGCTTCCCACTAAAGAAGAAAAATGACGAGCAGAGAAGATTCCCTGCCGCGTTGCCGCCGTACCCGGAACAGGACGGAGGGCAGTGAGAAGATGATGATGGCGGCGGGCGGAGGTGGTATTAGCGGTAAATACGGGTGCTGGGACGCTACTAACCAACTTAAAATAGGCGATCGAACGGTCTGGGACTGGAGACGATCCCTCGTCGGCCAGTCAGTGCGTTCCGGCCCGGTGGGTCCTTGGAAAGCCATATCTCGGTCCTGCCTGTAGAAAGTGTCGTATGTCGAACTGTCCGGTAGCAAATTGTCCCATCATGGAGGGTGGTGATTGTCTGATTGATTGATTGAAAAAAAAAAAATGAAACCCTGCCCGGCTTTTTCGCCTCCCCGATCGCGCATTCTTGCCCGCCCGGTACCTTGGGCCCGGATGGCATCATTGGCTGCTTATCTCCCTATCATATTCTCTCCTTTGGCCTCATGGATGGAAGAAAAGGACAATCAATATCAATGAATACTACCATCGTAGTAGAACAACCATGGATTGTTTGTGGTTTCCACATAGATAAGACGGACCCATGTTATAGAATAGAAGGGAAAGCACCTAATCTGTCCACAGTACATGTGGCTAAAGGTGGAGGCCAGGTGATCTTCAAGGCTGCATGTCCGGAGTATTCCAGTCCACTTTGTCTCTGTCGGTATGTGTGTAACGATGTATGTGCTACTTTAGTAGGATGTACGTGCTCACTAGGAATGCCCAGGATCAAGGCATACGTGCATCCTTCCGGTCTTTCCCTTGATGTCGCCATACAAATTGATGACCTCCTTTATTATACATTAAGTAATTTAATTTTTATTCTGGTTCATTGCTTTCTTGCCCACTCCGCCATTCCCTCATATCTACAAACTTGATGAGACAGACCCGTTCCCCTACGTAGTAGCCTCTGGTGATCCCTTTCCGGAGGATCTCTTTCTTATCAGGAGATGATTAGTTGACTTGATCTGTTCCATGGAAGCACTTATCTCACCGATAAGCCAAGTTTGGTCCTGAAGCCGTCCGCGGCCGAACATGTTCAGCAGTGAAAAGTAGGTAGGACTAATTAGTGAGTCTAGGTACCTCCGACCGTGCGGTTTTACGTATGGGTAATCATGGTCCCCACCCCCAGCTTTCTCTCTTCTCACACCCACTCTCTTCCTCTCTCTCTCCTCGTCCAATTCCTCTGGTTTCTTATCCCTCTCTGTTTCTTCTACCTTACGGGTTGTTTCCAGCCTTTCAGGCCCTCCCGTAGCGCCAGTCTAAAAAGTCGCCACCGCCCAACCAACGGGACCGGAAGTGGTTTTTCACTAAGGAGGCCTGGACGGTCTAGAGGCAGAAATGTTGGGGAGGCTAGTGAGTATCAAGCTAGTACTAAAAGTCAGTCAGTCTGTGGGTGGTATCTAGCGATCGGTCGGCCCATTAACTAACCACCAACTCCACTGAATGTCTGACATAAAGTAATCTGAGGATATATTAACCTACGTTGGTTGACTAGCGGGTTTAGTTAGTACGATTATAATTATAACTTCTCCTGGGATGAATACGGTAGGTTTATTGACTGATGCGCAACCTACATAGGACGCACATTAGTAGAGCGTAACGCCAGGGGGGGGGAGAAAGAGTGGATTGCGGATGCAGACCTGTCCCTTTGCTTTGTCAGTGCGCGCACGTTCACACCCACTCTCTCTCACACACACACTCACACACATCTCTCTCTTGTCTTGTCTGTCCTGCAACATCCCATGTTTTGCTTGCTTTTCTTGAGACACACTTGTGGTCTTCGCACGAGGGTTGGTCGATCACCAACTTCTCCGCCTTTCAAACTTTTGAGGATAGACATTCGAGACATTCTAGACTGTCTCCTTTTTCTTTGCTTTTTTCTTCTTCCTTTCACCGGGGCAGGTCCTCCCCAAATGCATCTTTGTAAGAAGTCTGCATTGCAAGGCTCAGCTTCAGGATGGAAAGTATCTAAATTTTCAGCCACATTGGTCGACTTTCAAGCTAAAAATTGCTACAAGTGGTTTTTCTTTTATTTTTTATAACATGCTGATGGAAGATTGGCGCCGTCTTTGTTACTTTTCTGGAGGGACGCGGGGGCTAGGGCCGAAGCGGCTAGTATTTGTGGTACCCACACTGGAGGCAGATTTACTAGACTAGTATACGGAGACTGGGTTGGGAGTGGATATGAATGGATAGCTGCCCGGTCGCTTAGCGCTGCTCCAACGACCCATTTCCAAGGCACCTTGCCAGTATGACATCAGAAAAGATACTTTTCCCTGAGGGCCAACCTCAACTTGATACTTTTCCTCTCTTCCCCTTCCTTTCGCTTCCTTATCCAATTCCCATCGAATCGCGTTGTCAGGTCAGTCGTCATGCTGGAGGTTTGCACGGACCATGGGAGAATTTAAAAGACTTATGCTGCAGCACTGCCTTGATCTGGCCAACCGAGTGTCCGCGCTATTCTGCAGACGGAATTGATGGACCCCCCCAGAGAAGTAAAATGAAAGGAAGTTGGCTGTGCGCACAATTCTTGGCTTCTGGCATCGGGAGTTTTAGTGACCTGGTCGACGTCGCATTTCTTGGCTGCCGCTGCGCATGGACGCTTAACATTATTATCCACCACCCATTTCCCAAATGACTTAGGAAATTTTTGTATGGATTGTATGTAGGGGAGGAGAAACAGCAGCAGGTATCCTTATCATCCCAAGCAACTGGTGCAACGGGCTTGCATAGACATCGGGAGTTGATAATGCACGCCCCTTTGATATTGAGCAATTTCGGTTTCTAATCGAATCTTCAGATGAGTGTTGCATCGCTTGTGTAACGGCCTATGTCGGAGAGAACCACCCCGGTCCGATGCTTGGGCTCTTTTTTCCCTCTCTTTCTCTCTCCCCCTTTCATCTTTCGTCGAGGGGACTAGTTCAGTGACTAATTTCAGGGTGCATTTGTTGCCAGAGGGCTATTCGGAGGATGACTGGCTCTGAAGCTGCTGTTCTCGCCCCCATCGCGGAGACTGATGCCTGCGGTAGCCTCTGGTCTAGAAACTGCTAGGTCTCATCTAGTAGGAATCCGCGACGCTTCGATGCCACGGGCCTATGGGCTCCTCCCCGTCGCACGACTAGCATCGGGCGAGCGCTTGTCTCACTTTTTCATCCGGTCTTATCATGGCTCGACTCACCGCACGGCAGGGGCGGCCCCCCCTGGCCGACCTTAGTAGTTCTCAACTCAATTCCTGCGATAGTATCAATTGGCTGTGTCTCTGATTCGCCACCGGCATGCAAGCCACAGCGGATAGTCATGAATTGGTGGCCCATATGCTGGGTGCCATGATGGAAATCATATCGGCAGGATCTGGACGCTCGGTGAGAGGACATTAGTCGGGTGGTGGGGTTGACAGTGGTAGAGAGAAAGATATCTTGAAGCCACCGATCTTGGCTAGACGGGAGCGATGATCGGGCCTCGTTCGATGGGAAGTCATGTACGAATGCTGTTCCGAACGCGTGAGATCCGGATGGCGCTGTTCTCATTCGACCGCCGCCGGCAGCTCTCGTGCAGCTGCAGAACCGCGCTAGTGTGGCTCCTCCCCTCGTCGTCTCAGCCTTTCGCCTTCTCCTTCTCCCTCCCTCTCCATCTTAGCTTGGTCCATCAAAGCCTATCACTACTGGTCTTGTTTGCTGCTTGATAGGAGTTTATCTTATGGTCTATCTTATTTTTAAACAGCCTACCGCGCAATCGAGGGGAAATAACACTAGATAAACAAGGGGAAGGCTGGTCTTACGGCTGGTCAGATCACACTGCAGAAGAAAGCGAGCAACAATGCCTTTCTTATTCGAATCCCGCTAGAACCTCTCGAGATAGTTGACGTGCGTGCTCCTCATCTCCGACCAAACGCCATCAACGCCCCTTGAAACTAGCTGAGTTTGAGCACTGACAGGACTAGGCGACTAGTTTCTGCCTTCGACTGACGCTATAACGGCCGGTCGAGCGCCCGAGCGGGTAATCGGCGCCGATTAGCACAGCCGTCCTCCTTGATCGACAACCCACGTCCCCCCGATTTCAAGCCCCAGCGTTTGAGGTCCTCGTTCTGCTCCTCTTTTCGCTACTTCAACAAAGATACACGCTCCCGAGGACATTAAACTTTGTATGAAATTGGACGTGCATATTGCTAAAGGCGGTCAGGGAAGTTTATACCGCTCGTATCTACTTGAAAGCCGGGCGGGGAAGCTCGCTGCTAGCGGCAGGGTGCAACATAACGGATGTTAGATTGGCTCGTGGGCCAGCTCAGAAACTCTTATCGCACCGGCCCACCGCGGGCACTCTGCACGCAAACGGGCTGCTCTTCCTGTCCGATAACCGCTGCGGTCTCGACCCATGGGCTGCGTCGCAAGCTTCTCAACTCCGCACTCTGTCCCAAGAGCAGTGGGGAAGCGGTGCCGCACACGATGGCTGGCACAGCAGAACCTCAGCTGGAGACCCCACGGGGAAACCGATCTCCGCGCGAGCCTGCTTGCGTGCTTGCGTGCTTGCTGCGTATCTGTGTTGATGTCTTGTGATCAGTAGAATGCTGCCTCTATCGATCATTCATCGCGACTACTCTAGGGACTCGCATGGTGACGGCTATGCTGTGCATCCCGATGCAGGAACTCTCCTGTATACTATTGATAGGCCGCTGCGGCTATTGATTCATCGGTATCTTGCTATAATCTCCCCACTGACATTTCCGATGAACAATAGCATGCTTGGCACGGGCATCACCTTGTCAATACCCGATGGTCGCAACTTCATCCGTAGCCGTGATACTGAACATACAGTAGCAAAGCTTCTCAGAGGGATCACGTTCCGTTTCACCATGCAGCTCCTGACCACCTGATTGTTGATCGCCAGGGTACGGCAGAGGAGTCGATGCAGTTCTGCTGTGGATTCTAATCGCTCCTAGGCCCTTGGCTTAAGGGACTTGTGGGGTTCTCCCCAGTGGGCATTGCTCGTGGCTCATACGGATCCAACAGGTTTACGCAATTCGTATCGGCCCGCGCGGCTGTCTATTCATGTTGGGGTGCCAAACACAGTTCAAAGCAGCGTGAACTGGTGGGCAAGTACCATCATTTCAGCATCTATATGGCGCACATGAAAGCTGTCAAACACGGATCGGTCGGAGAACTATACCTGCGTTGGAAATCTGGCCGTGGTGTTAGGTGTCAATGCCACACAGGGCAAGCTCACTCGCATTAGCAACGTTCCACGCAAGCATGAGCGAGTGATAGCACAGCATACGATCCACCAGGCGGTTTCCGATCACCCCGACTGCGCCCTACCAGTATCTTTCTTGTGTACACATGACAGCCATACCCATGACCGACCTAAGCTAAGAGCCACGTCCCTCCCCGCTCTTCAGATTTACCTTCATCGAGTGATATCGGATGATCCGATGCCAATTTCGGGGGCACCCCATTAGCCCGGGTGTAGGTCCTCCGCCGCACAAGCCGAGTAGTAATGCCACTGGGCCGGGGTCCGTCGAGCACAGACACTACCCTGGCCAGTGGGAGCGAGCGACGGGGATGTCAAACATGCCATTGACTCGGCCTAGGCACTGTCCGAGCGCGCAACCCCTCAGTGGACAACAGCCCACGACATTCCCCTCTTCCAGAGGCAGTGCTATTGGGTATCTGTTTTGGGGGCCCAGGGTGGACTAGTATACCGATGAAAACAATGTTACCGGTGAAGTAACAGGAGCATCTGGTTCTAGATCCCAACACGCCCCGATTCACAATGGTAAGTTCAACTCATTTCCTCTTCCACCACAACCAGAGACTACACAGCACGTCGCTCAACCCTTGCCGCGAATTCAGCTCCATTTGATGGACATTGCGGGGTACGAAGCACACAGACCGGACAACCCTGGTCCGCCAACTCATAACCATGTGCGACCATCGCGGTATCGAACCTTCTCCGCGGCCGTCCCAGTCCCCATGCGACCACACATGTTCAGATAATTTTCACCACTTCACTCTGCCCCCTCTCACACCCCGATCACGAGCCATGGCACACACACCCTCTTCAACAAGTTCCAGCGAACCAGCAACAATCCTGATACAACAAATCCAATGGATCAAGCATTACACCCAGCAAGTTCGAATGTCCTTCTTACCTATCTATCTTCCAGAACCTGTAGAAGGATTCGACTACTCTCACAACTCATACCAACAGGCAAGGTAATCTCTGCGACAGCCACGAAAGCACATCGACGTAAACCAGAAAGCAAATATCTACTCGTGCATCCTCAATAGCACACACATTAACGGTATAGTTAATATCCGTCAAAGCCACAAAACGCACCCCAACGTAGTCCAAGAAAGTTAACTCAGCACTTGCTACCATTAGCCACCACCACTTCTATCATGATTTACATAGCCATTTTACCATCGCCACAGACAACACCTCTCTCCCTGTCTCTATTCGTCTCCATTTGTAGATTCACCATCCTGCAAGAGCAATCCGATCGGTCGCTCGCTCTCCCACCTCGCCACTAAGACTTAGACTAGTAGATTACCTGAATAACATCACAAACAAAATATACCCCCTTACTTACTGTATGTCAGTCTGTGATGTAGTATATCCGTCTGCCACAGTGGCAATGTCACCTCAGCTCTACCAACTAATAGTTATCATATTACCAGTTTCGTATGTAGGTACATTAACAGCCAGGAGTACTAAGTACTAATCCGAATCCGAATCCGTTCAACCACTGATCTCATATTGACTCAAAGGCTGATATCGGTCGGTCGATCGGGCGGGCGGGCGACATTACGATCGTGATATCAGCAGGGGGATAGTACTTATGCAATGACTGACAGGATCAATATATTCTGTTTTCGAGCGATTCACATCCTTCTGAAGAAAATAGTAAGATTCTGAAGATTCAGTAAGGGATGAAGGTACTCACAGATAGATAGTATCAGGACCGGAAATATTATTGCCTGATCTGATGCATGGTATCTTTTGATACTGGATTAAGTTATGATTATATTATCTTGTTCTAACTTGCGAAGTGCCAGATAGTTAGTACTAGGGTAATTGGTAATACAGATGCCTGGAATAGGCAACAGCATGGATGAGAAGGTGGGTAGATATGTTACGTTTACTGATTCATGTGTGTTGTATGTATATGATGGCAGGTGTCACGAATATAGTCAGGGTCGTAGTCAGATTTGGAATTTGGATTGAAAGAAATGAATAAGTACCATTTTACCCATTAAGCCTGCTTTATGGAGGGGGAATAAACGAAACAAGTACCATAGGAAATTCCAAGTCAAAAGAAGTCAACGCCAGATTGATGAACTAAATATAAATTAATAGCGTAATGTTCAGACAGCCGCCCCAAGTCCAGCTTTAAGACTGAAAGTTGATCCAAAATAGCAGTTGAAATTAAAAAAAAGCAGTACATGCACAAGGTATCATGTTCATAATCAATCAAGCAATCAATCTGGTTTTGTCTTTCCTGGACCCTTTGACTCCTGTGCCGTAAGAGTGACAGACATCATTACATAGGTTGTTGGTTGGTTGGTTGGTTGTTTGTGTAACAATAGCGACAGCATTATCATAAAGTCATATCATATCGGTCATCACATAGATTAGGTCATGAGCATCACTGCTACACACTTGCTGTTCGTCGCTTTTCGCTCGGTTTCTGTGCATATGCGATCCACAGGCGGAAGCCGGTGCCGCGCTGTTGGCATTCGCGAAGGATCTTCCTGTCAGACCAGATGCTAAGGGCAATGTCGCCGTTTGGGAGCACAGGAATTTCATAGCATCTGGTGTACCACCATCGACCGACTTTAGCAACGATCTTCCGAATGGATTCGTCGTTTGAAGGCGAGGGGGAAGGGTCAGAGAGGAGATCGCCTAGAGATAGGTCCGTGTCGTTGGAGGAGGACTTTCCATGCGCCCTTGCTTTCGCTTTGGCAGCTGTTGACAGGCCTGTAAGGGGGGATACAGTGGTGTTCGGGGAGGTCGTTGCGAGTATGGTGGATGGATTCGATGACGAGGTGGAAGTCGAGGACGCTGATGATCGAACGATCATTCCAGCGACAGGGATCCGTACCATGCATCGTCGGAGGTTGTCAAACTTATGCCGTCCTAGCAGCCGTTGAATGCTGTCGCTTGTAGGTTTGAGGCTGATGTTTGGGTCGGATATATACGTCCGTTCTTTCAGGGTCCTCACGGCTTTTCGCGTGCGGATTCCCATGTTCACCATGTCCAGGTCGAGGATACTCATTTCCAGATAGCCGCCTGCGCGAAGGACGCGCTTGCATTCAGAGATGATGTTATCCTGCGCCTTTTCGGAACAGGCAGCGGGGAATCGCAGAACGGCCACCGCGAAGAAGCCCCTTGGGAATGGCAGCTGATCATCGAGACTCGCATGTTGAATGGTGTGGTGGTTATATGGAGGCTGCCACGCTTGTGGGTGCTTGGATGCAATTGGTTTTATTCCGTCAGTAAGACTGTATACATCCGCGTTCGGATATGTCAAAGCACAGTAGAATGACCAATCATCATTTCCAAGTCCATCAACCACCAGGATACGCTCTTTGTCTGACCCTTTGGCATGGTTGTGCGCGGGACTGAAGAGCACCCGCCCAAAGGATAACCATCGGCTTGTCATCAGAGATCCGGATCGGATATTGGTGTGAGCAGTGGGCCCTTCACGATCGCGTTCTGCGATATCGAAGAGGACGGTGTTGCGCTGTCGGCAGATCTCGAAGCTCGGTGATGTAGCCAAGGCTGGAGAACTTAGCAAGCCTGATTGTTGTTCGACTATTGGATTTGGTGCCAATAGCCTGTCCTCTGCCTCCTTCTCCACTACGCTGCTCTCGCTTCGATCGTCACAGTAACTAGCGATAATTTCACTGTACGAAGGCTGGGATGACGGGACCAAAGACGAATGTAGCTCTGCAATAATTCTGGACCGTCGAAGCCTGACAGAGCCAGTGCTAGATCTGGGTGATGAAGCCGTAAGCTCGACTGCAGGTTTCTCAGATGGCGTAGACATCTCTGGTGCCTCGTTGATTTCTGCTTGAAGTGTCTTGCTCGCCATCGTGGCTAGCTCAAGCTTGCGATCTACCTCGGATTCGGATTCAAAGAGCGTGCTTGTCGTTTGCGGAGAAAGCACATGGTCGATAAAGTCATCATATTCACCCCATATTTCATCCTCGGTTAACTCAGTATTAGGGCCTGGAATGACAGCTGTGACAGCAGCAAGGCTGTCAGAGCCACTAGAAGTGGACAAAGTGGAGTCTTTTCTGGGTGAGAATCTCATGAACTCTTCTTTGGAGTAAGGTCCTGCAATGAAGTCTAAGACACTACCCTTCATGGGATCCTTGAAAGGGTCTGTGAGGTCAAACTTGTAGTCGGATTTGCCAGAAAGTGCAGGATAAAGAGGGCTCGGAGTGAAAATCGGTGAGAACGAGATACCACCAGCGTGTTCAGCAACCGGGGCAGTCAAGGACGGGGGTGATTGAGCCACACTGAATGGCCTCGAGAAGGACTGCACAGCCGGCTTATGCGGCCTCTCGCGCCTTGAGACTACACGCGGAATACGCCCAACGGACGTCAGGCGACTTTGACGCTCTCCCTCCGGCTTTTCCTCTGGGCTCTGTGGTATCAGGCTTTTGTTGAAGTAGACTTTCGGCGACTGAGGCTGATCCCGAAATATGGCATCATGCAATTTGGGTGGCGAGGGTAGAAGAATGGATTCTGGTGTTTTCTTGATGTTCAGAGCAGCTGGTACTTCCACTGGGGAGCTGAGTTCGTCATCTTCGGTGGGTGGTGAGTTCTCAACGTTGTGTACGATTTCCTCCAAGGGGTCAGAGTCCATGTCGATTAGAGCATAGTGCGCAATTGGTCGGTGTGCAGGCGCTTGAGCAACTGTCGCATGAAGATGAGGAGCAGTACGGGATTGGATCTTTCCTTCTGCCTTTTCGGGTTCTTGCTTTCTCTGAAAGAAAATCCACTTCAAGCCCAGGCCTCGCTTCGTCTGTTTTTGTGGAGTTTGCGTCTCTTCTGGTGCTCTGGAACGCGTAGGATGGACTTCAAGGTTCGATTGATGTAAGTCCTGGATTGAAGAAGCTACAGGCGCTTTTGTGACCTTCGGACCTGTCTCCGGGCGAGAACATGTCACCCTCTGCTGTTCAAATGATATCTGATGCTTCATGCCCTTAGCTGTCAGCTCCGATGAGTCTGTAGATGCTCGAGAACTAGCCAGTGTCTCTGTAGAGCAACCAGGAGATTCGGAAATTATAGACGGCTGCGTCAGGTTTGAGGTAGATGCTGTACTGAAACCACTTGTACTTTGCTCGCTTGGCCTCCTCTGAGAAGCAATCCCATCCACATTCCCACCTCTGATAATCACTGGCTCAAGGCGATCGAGCAAAAAGTCGTCAAGGTCTAGCTCCGGCCGGCTTCTAGTGCTGCCTTTGCTACTGGCAACAGACTTAGGGCCGCTTCTGGTTGTGCTAGTTGACCTTGCTCGGCTAGTGCTACTGCTCACGCTTGATCTGCGGCCACGCTGTGCATATCTGCCGTAGCCTTCATGTCCCGTCCCAGCAGCAGGTCCCTTACGAGCTAAGCGACCTTCACTCCGCGTATCCATGTCAGGTTTCGACCTTTTTGTAAAGAGGCCAAGACCTCGTGACTTTCCTGGGCCCACAATATCATGCTGTGGCCTCTCTTCCTTTGCTGGTTGGCGAGGTGACTTTCGTGATAACTCCGGCGATGCTGGTGCATGGGCATGAGAGGGAGCCCTTGCGTGCAGCGAGTCGATCGAGGTGGCTGCAGACCTATTTAACCCTGGACGCCTCTCCAGAATGGGGGATCTCTCAATTGAGTCTCGCCTTTTGTGGCCTGTCACCGTTTTGGGCGATATATTGCTCTGTACCACAGGTGACGGTTCCAGTATCAATTGGTGAGTGCCTTCCCTGGTCGGCCTTTTGGGTATCTGAAGAGGCTTATCAATTAAGTCTGCACGTACTTTATCTGCGTTAGACATGATTCGTGAGACTGTTTTCTCTACTTTTTGTTCAGCCTCAGCATTTGGTTTCTCTTTGGTCGAAAGTCGTCGAGTGCTGCTTGTGGACGTCTTACGGGGAAGGTGGCTGTAAGATGCGTTGGTAGTGTTCGTTGTGCCGGTCTTCGCCGGAAACTGTTTTGTCTCACCCTCAGTAACGAATGTCTTTGCTCTAGTGCTCTGGTCCAACAATGGGGACTGTGTTGCGCCCGACCGCGCTCGGTCACTTGCTGGACTTGCCTGCTGTGTCTGGTGAAAGAGCACCGGAAGTCGACTTTGGGATGGACTAGGTTGCCTTAAGCGTGGAGCTTTTGCAGAATGAACGATTCCTGGTGAATAGGAAGATAATGTAGTTGGAGTCGAAGTCCTACTCCACACACCCGGGGATTCTGAATATCTTGTGGAAGGACTACTGGCGGACGGGATGATCGGAGTTGGGGGTGGTAGGTTTTGTGTATTGATAGTGGTCCTGAGGCTTGCAAGTTCCTTCGGACCGGTATGGACGTGAGCTTGCGGTACGATGCTCGAAAGATTATCCTCCGAAGCCATTGGCGACGCTGAGACCGAATGCTTCGTAGCGAATTGTAAAGAGGCGCTCTGAGTCGGCCCAATGATAGGAAATTTTGGTATAATCACATTCAGCTTCTCAGGTCGTATCCTCTCCAAGCTTGGTTTACTTTGTGCAGTATGTTGACCGATTGTCGGCGCCTTCCTCCGCAAGACATTGCGCGGTCGACCGGGAGCAGGGGACCTCTTGTCGGTGTCAAGGGCATTCAGGGGCTCAGCAGCCATGTGGAAGGGTTGGCGAACGCCTCCATCCGGCATTGGATGCAAGGGTGTCGGCGGCAATGGATGCGTGGCTGTTCGTGGAGGTATCGATGGACGAGCATGCTGACCGGCCGGGATCATCGAAGGGTCTGATCGTGCGACACTGTGACGATTTCCCTCAGCACTGGACACCGATGACGCTCGGATGGCCCTAGTCGAGGGAAGCGTCGGTCTTGGTATCTGCGGCCTGGGCAATAGCTGGGCAGGGGCGTCGTGAAGCCGAGCTGAGGCCATCGCGGGCGACGATACGCTCCGGGACTGGCTGGCGACATTCTTCAGTCGGGGTATTCGACCGCCGTCAGACTTGTGCGACGACATGGTGTGACCTGGGTCCAGCCTCCAGTTGTAGTCCGAAGACCAACGATCTAGCGATAGAAGTAGGACGAGGTAGACAGGAAATCATTCCGTCTGATGATATTTATAGCCGACGTGAACGCTACCAGCGATAAGGCTTGTGAGCTTTCATTGAGCCAATGCCAGCAGCTGGAGGATGACTTACCCTTCATAACATGCCAGGGAATTGTGCGAGTTGCGACAGTGACAGGTGCCGGTCAATTATAAAACCTAGAAAGTAACCGCGCAGCGGGGTATGTAGAGGCGGGGCAGAAGGAAGCTATTCAGAACAGGGCCAACGACTGATGGAGCGTTGGGGAAATAAGCGGTCGTATTTAGCGGGGCGGGTGTCATATAATAATAACCAGGACCGACAAGAAGATACGAGACTGCAATTATGGAAACAGAAGAAGAGTAAAATATACAAAAGACCGAAGAGTACACCGTGCAGGCGCTGCGCCACAGTATGGAGACGTCCAGAGTGGCTAAATGCAGGAGAAAAAATAAAAAAAAGGTCGAGCTCGGTCTGCACGACCACGTCAGAGAGCGTCGGTCTAATAAGAAAGGAAGACTATGCAGAAGCCACATTAAATGGCGTAGAATAGAACAACCAAGACCAGCTACACAGGAAAAAACAATGAAAAGAACGATAGAGACGACCAGAAGAAGAGAACAAAAGGGAGAGAAAGAGAAGGGCATGCGAACTGGGACCTGGAAGTCTTAATTAGTCGCGTACCAGGAATAGTTCTGGACCATTTGCGAAACCCTGGACAAGCCAGGACTACCCTCGAACCCCGTTTGGAGACATTGAGCGTAGTGGGGGAACCAGTAACCCGATTCGCAGGTAAACGATCCGTCTAGAGAGCGTCAACTATCACAGATAATCCTGGCGCGATTTGTGCGATCGACGCTGGGTCGGGATTCGAGTAGTGATGTGACCAGGATGGTAATTGGCGCAGGCACTTCTCCTTTTCTCTGCTTCCCTTTCTTGATCTGATGAATTATCTTCTGTAATCCCGACCTCTGTTATCGACGGTCTCAATCCTGGAGTCTATCTAAATCAGCCGAAGTCACGAGCAGGCTGGCGAATTATCTTTTGAAAGCCGTGAACCTTGACCAAGCTGGGAACAACATGTAAGGACAGCAGAGGCAAGGCCCGCAGACAGTGGAAGGAATCCATGCCCGCGGCCCACTCCTGGTCGTTACCGCTATTCTAACTGGTAAGTACCATTGCCTTCCATGGTTGGGGATTGTTCAACGGCATCGCTTGACAGGTCGACATGGAGTTGAGTGGCGTGAGATAGCGGGAAGACCGTCGTGCGCTGAACCGGCCATTTGCCGTGGGCCAACGCGCGGATGGCAGATGCAGGCATCAGCCAAGCATGCTGGTGGTCACTGTTAAGTCTTCTGTCAGTTGTCAGTCAGGATTGCCGCAGTCGACTAGTGCTTTGTAAGGACTAAAAAGCGAGCTTCGAGCTCAAACTGGTCTGTGTGTTATGGAGAAAATGGATGCTGATTTGACGCTGACCGGAGATTTTCGCGGCGGCGACCCAAGCCGGTCAGGTGGTAGTCACTGACCGTCACTGATGGTCACTGACTATTCGGAGAGGCCGAGTTTAGCATCTCCATTTTAATTATAGCAACACCTGCGGCCCTTCATTATCTTCCGCCCACAATGGGATTTTGGAGTCCTTGAGGAATCACCTACATTGCACTGTCTACTTTGTTATCTCTAGAGAGTTCCAAGTCAACTTCCTCTCACTCTCACTCGGCCGTGTGTGCTCGAATTCGCAACAAGGTACTACACTCAACCCTGGTACACCGGAAGGTTCGCCCCGATCCATTCAACTCCCCCATCCAGTCACATCGTCTATGGCCCCCATCACACAAAACGAAATGGATATTTGCCTCGATCCACTCTCACAACGGCCAAACATGATATACTTTGTTCCTTCGCGTGCCTTTCACGCAACCAGTGACATCCCCGAAGCTACAGGCTGCACACAGCAGCTGAGACCGAGGACTGAACCCGGTGGATCCCCGCTGCCTTAGCAAACCACAGTCGGCCCCTAATTCCCTATCTGCAATCCTTTCAAATCAACTAAAGTAAGAAAAGTGCCTCATTGCCCCCCGATCCGAGGGAAATGCGGAGTCGCTGAGCCGTGGGTCTTGATCCGCCGCTAGACATTCAACACGGGGCGACAATCACGCCTGATTGACGGATCCAAGGTGAACGGGGCCTGGCTCAGCAATTAGCACCACGGGCGCGCTGAACCAACTACGAAGGGCTTTTGCCCGACAGAGTGAAGCAAAGGCCCCCCCCCTGCCTTTTTGTGAATGTGATTCAGTGGGACAGCGGTTAACTGACTTCTGGCCTACCTACTATATCTGAACTTAACCCCTCCCTCGTCTCCCCTAAGCGATGTGACATATGCCAATCACGAAGCATCTAGATTTGTTCACAGTTGGTTGTTTACCGTGTCTGTCTAGGACGGAAAATACATGCGACCAGGGGCGAAAACAGAAGGAAGGTGCGTGATGATAGACTACTGCAGATCCGATCCGATCCCAAGGCAAGCCAGGAAAGAAGCCACGGTCGGTCGGTCGGTCGGTTGGCGCTGCAGGAACTGGGGCGCCATCATGCTCATGCGCCAGGGATTTTCAGCTGAACGTGTGAATGCTACGAGTTCCACTACAGAATTAGGCTTGCAGCTCGACTATTTACGTGGGATTCGATAGCTTATGCTGTACACCAGGCTCTCTTATATTATTCGCTTCGTGTCTTCGTCGATGGTGAACAATGTTTGATGGGGAAAACCATAACTGAAGAAGGGTAGGAAAAAGAAAGCAACACAAGGGCGGATTGGATGGATGCATGTCACCCTGCACGGATCTTTGACCACATCCAGGGGAAATCTCCGGGCAATATCCAACAATGCCTGCCGGGATCTCCTTAATGGCCCTGACTTCTTGTCACACCGTCAGATCCAATAACCGAATCGTATTTGCCAGTTACACAATGGCCGACCCGATCGACCAGGTCCGGCACTTCTTAGTGGCACCCAGGCCAAGTTATCACATTATCCCTCACACCGTCAACCGCGACTCCAGTTCGCAACATGTACACAACAGCATATTTTCAGACCAAAGCTTGAATTCCCCTAAAACGCCAGTAACCTGTAAAGAAAGAAGAAGAGATAGCAGAAATATGAACCGGAATATCACATTGCGACCCTCCTCTGGGTCTAAGCAGCAGCTCCGAACCTCTTCTTCCGAGCTTCCATGGCCTGGACGTCCTTTTCACTCCAATTAGTGGTCTTGGCCCCAGCAGCAGCAGTAGCACCACCACCATTCTGTTGCTTCTGAGGACGACCTTGACCCTGGTTACGGTTCCCACCGTGTCCTCCTCTGCCGCGGAATCTGTTCCTCCCTCCAAGATCCCTCTTCTTCCCGCCGCGACCACCACCACCGCTCTGCTCATCACCGCGACCTCTCTTGCGTGACTTCTCCTCCTTCTCCGGCAACGCCTCATCCAACTTTTTCACACCAACTTCCCCAGGAGCCGGAGCCGCAGTACCGAACCGCTTCGCCCGCTCAAGCTGTTTCTCCGCCGCCTCAATCGCAGCCTTGGACTCCTCCGTGACACCGAACTTCTCCGCGCGAGCCTTTCTCTTCTTCAATTCCTCCTCCATCTCCGTAATCGGCAACCCAGCGGAGTAAGTAACTGCCGGCTTCTTCTCCTCCTCTCCCTCCTTCTCGGTAGCGCCAGCTGCGGCAGCAGCAACAGCACCCTCTTCTTCCTTCGCCTGCTGCTGCGCAGCATCACCAGGTTGTTCCACTTTCAAATCATTCGCCGTCGCGGGATTCGCCTCCTCATCCAACTTCTGATTCGGGACCTTGACAGGATTCTCTACCTCGCCTTTTCCACCGGCCGCGATGGCCGCCGCGCCCGTCGCAGTCGACGCCTTAGCAGCCGCCTCACCAGCAGGGACCTCATCGTCTTCCCAGTCAATGACATCGTCTGTGTTGTTATCGCCACTACCCTTCGTAGCAGCGGCAGCAGCAGGCTTCTCCTCAGACGGGGCAGCACTGTTATCGTTCTCCTGTAGCCGAGCGACCATCTCTGCTTTCTTGCCCGTATGGGGGAGATTGCGCGACTTGAGGATCTCGATTAATTCGGCGTTGGTCTTCTTGCTGTAGTCGGTAGCCATTTTGATGAGATGTAATGCGATAGGAGGATAGGAAGTGAGGTAGGTAGGTGCGTATCGTAATAGACCAGGGTAATGGTAAGGTATGTGAGCGCGCAAGCAAGTTGCGACAGACGGACGAATTGGGGGGGTGAGATGGGGATTGAAATAGATCAAAAGAAATAAGCAAGCAATTGACTGATTACACTCTTACAACCACCATGCGCAATAACGAATTCAATTTAAATAATTGAGAAAGGAAAAAACCGTGAATGATGATTGTTGTTGTGGTGGTTGTATTGAAAGAAAGAGGAGAATGAAAAGAGATGGATGGGGGAGGAGAGGTGGGTGTGGATGGGAGCAAAGAAGGTCCGTCCGGAAGTGGTGGTTGAGCTACGCGTTTTTGGGGAAACGCGGGTGTTCCAGGTTCCAGTTCTCAGCTCTGACTGTCTACCTGGCTGTTCTGGCTGGCCAGTGAGTCTGCCGGAGCTTACCGGTTTTGGGAGAGACAATGGAGTCACGTGAGTGAAACATATGACATAATCGCATAATGGATGGGCAGCTTCTTTATTGGATTTGAGTTTCTACTTTGTTCAACTGTCATTATGATGGAATGGGATCTACCCAATGAGAATGGATATTATTAGTAGAATGTTAGTTCATGTATGTGCTTGCTTGCTTCTGATCTGAAACTTTGTTGAGGTTGGATGACAGCTGAAAGGCAGATGAATTAGATGGATAGATCCCGCATAACTGCTAGTTAGTGTTTGAGTGGTGGCGGAGCTTGTCGGTCAGATTGTGGCTGAGAAGTTAGTAAGTTGGTGTTAAATTTATGTGTTGCTTCTGTCTGTCGCTTAACTTTATGTGGAATTATTGGGCGCATCTGCCAGCTGAAGCACAGACTTTGTGTGTTGACGTGGTGCTTGGATGGGCGCTCTGATGGCGGAGAAATGCGGGCGTGGCTGAATTTAAGCGCTGTAGTTGGCGGTTGAGTTATAGAAGCTGCTGATTATAGGTTGTGTGGGTATAGACATTAAGTTGCTATGGCTCTGTCGAGATGGAGAGTGTGTGGTTTATGCTACTGTAGTAGACGGAATATGTCGATAGTATCTTATCTTGGTTTTATAAAACAGTACGACTGGAGCCCTTCTGTCTCTGTGGCATAATAACTATGTATTTAGGTTGCTCAATAAAATAGGCTGTTAAAGCCAATAGTCACCAGCGCAAACTACCATAATCACCTGATAATAAATGTATACCCTCCCTCACATCAAAGCACAAGAGCAAACCTCCAGCAACCAGCTACTAATCATTGAATGGAAGCATATTCACCATCATCCATAAAACCAATACTCCGCCGCATATTCCACCTCAAACTCGCCCTCCTGTCCTTCGCAGGTAGCCGGACTAACACCACCAGCCGTATAAACGCGATACACCTCCTAGCATTATTATTAATACCAATTATCCCAAGCACACAAGCACAAACACAGAAACAGAGGCAACACAAGACATACCTTAATCCCCTCTCCCTCAATCTCCACCAACTTAAGCCACGGCACATCCACACTTTTCGGGGCATTAGCACTAGCAACCTTCTTCATCGTAGCCCAATCATCATCCCCACTAAACCTAAGATCGAAGGACGGCTGCCCATTCCCCGTAAAGCAATGTTCGCCGAGAATGCCCTCTCCCGCACCAGCCAGGCTGATCAACGTGGCGAGGAAGTCCAGCGTTTCGAGGGGAATGCCTTGCACGAGGGCAGGGAGGTGGTGCAGGAGCTCCTCGTCGACCGAGGCGATGCAGGAGGCATCGAAGAGGGTGGCCAGGGCGCCGACGGAAGTGGGTTTGCTGGTGGTGTTCTGAGGTGAAGAGCAAGTGTAGTTTTGAGTTCCTCGGCCGAGGGCAACGTGCTGGAGGGTGAGGTTGGTGGCTGGGGTGGGGAGAGCTGTGAGGTTGTAGTTGATGTTGAGAGTGGTGGTATTGAGCGAGCAGGAAGTGAGGTCAAGGCCTTTGAGGGTGGAGATGGTGGAGCTGAAGATGGAGGTGGTGGTTAGGATGTCGTTGGCGTTGGTGTCAATGTCGGTGTCGGTGTTATTGGAATCATCGGGGGTGGAGTGTGGGATTGCGGTGACGAGGAGGGGAAGGAGAAAGACGAGGAGGTAGTTGAAAAGCATCATGGTGGAGATGTTTGTTTCTTGGATGATAGATGAGTAGCTTGCGAACGGTTTGAATTGTGAGTTCCTGTTCTCAACTCAAGCAGAGGAAGAAGTGGGCTGGTGGTGAGGAGAAAGCTGTTCTGATGGAAGGAAGCATCGACATATATAACTAGAAAGTGAATGATCCACTCAGTTATTGCAGATACTGATATTCACTGGTTCAACACCTATGCACTTAATATCAATTCTCAAAAGAAATATAGTATAACCAGTCTGCCTTGACAGCCCTCAGGATTCTCTCTAAGCCATGCTGGATCAATCCAGTCCAACTGATACACGCAAGCAACGATATGTTGGATAGCCAGATACACTGCCCCAGCACAAAGTAGCCGGTAAGGACTGGAGTCAACGATACAGAAGCCTTATTCCAAAGTAGCAGAAAGAATAACTTCAGTATCCTTGATATCTCGCATGCAAAGACAATCCGCAGGCAACAACCCTCCAACATTCAACCAAGTCAGTCGGACATAGCATGGACCCCCGGCCAGCAAGCTATATCCTATAGGCAGCACAGGCGCTACACCCAAAGTAGCCTTGCGGATATAGCCACAAGCCTGTGTAATCTACCTTGAAATCTGTCTAACAAGCATTCGTGGACGGCAGTGGGTGTGAGACGCGCATAAAACCAACAAGGTTTGATGTAAGCGCCGTTGCCCTCGTGGCCATGCATCGGCCGATGAAAACAATTCCGAACCAGAATCTCTTAATTTAGGTACACCTGCGGTCGTATAGCCGAGTTAGCGCCTGCTTTTATTATTCGATATAATCGTGGGGAGTTGGTGGAGTTACATACATGCACAATGTCATGCGCAGTTCGTGGCACACAATGTCCTTTAAAGCTATTGGTGCTGTGTGAAATTAACCCTGCGCGTAGGCGATTTGGTACGCCAGCTGCAGTGACATAGTATGTGGCTACTTGCATGCAGAGATATCTCAGACCGCTTGGTTGTTTCTATTCGCAGCTCTGAACGCACAGCGTATTCTTTATGTCGACACCCCACAAAAAGGCTTGGAAAGATGGCTCATATGTGATGGAGGCGCTTATTTTTATGACATGGTTACTGCTTGCTATAAGCCGCGGTGACTTCGAAGGAAATACTGTGAGCATAATCAGTCGTGCTTCCGTGTCAGGCATTATTATGTTGAATCTATGGGGATACTGAGACGTGCGATGGGTAGCGGTGCACCAGATTATAGTCTTTGAAGCATTACCTACAGATCCAAATTGTCATACAATGTGGAGCTGATATCATCAATCGCTAACAGTATGTCTTTACCTAATCTTCACTCAAGCTTAGTAAAACTCCCCTTCTCGATCGCTGCATCCATCATCCGATCGCCATTAATGAGACTCGTCGTACAAATCACAATCTTCCGTCTGGGAGCTTCCTGCGCTGCGATAAATCTCAGCGCCGCAATTTCTGTGAACGTAATTCCACCCAAAAAGAAAACATAAACCGTCTTGATCGCGTTATTGCCACTAATAGTCTGCCGCGCCCTGATAGCCTTATCATCGCCCTTCTGTACAATGCTAAATGTAGCGCCCCGAGCACTCTTCACTACGTCCTCAAAACCGAGCCACCCCGGGGACGAGGCGCTTGCTGGACTGGGCGTCGCCGCAGTGATAGGCCCACCTCTGACGAGAGAAAGGATATACGGTTTCTGCAGAACACATTGAACGAGACGAATGCTGAGAGGGGCGAAACCGCTATAGACATACGCAACGTCATTGGGGTCCTTTTCGCTGACCTCTTCGACAACCAGTCGGAGGTTCTTGCGGAGGTAGCCGTAGTTGGTCTTGGTGCCGGTCTGGGCGCCAGCGGTGGGGAGGAGCATGGTGGTGGCGGAAGAACGAGGCTGAAGAAGTTCCATTTTCTCGAGAGCCCAGAAGGTAAGAAGGTGTTGATGGCCATATGCTTGGATGATTTGGCGTTTAAAATTTTCGAGGTCGCGTGGCCGGAGACCACCGGACATGCAGGATTCAAGACAGAGCAGACGGAGAATGGTCTTCAGAGGAACATCGCGAGCAATGAGCTCCTCAACGGCGTCGTGATGGTATGTAGCGTCAGCGCCAGCGGCATTGTTCTGCTGCACTTCAAGAATCTTGCGGAAGATATCTGAGCGAGTAGTTCTCATTATTTCTTCGGCAAGGTTGGTGTGGACTCGGAGACTTTGATGTTCCAGTTGGTAAGTGGGAAGTTTGTTGACGAACTCGCGGAGCTCAGAGGTGGTTTTGGCGGCATGCCGGCTTTCGTAGTCGCTTTCCAGACGGCGTGCGACCTTGTTCAAGATGTCACCTACGATGGCGAAGTTGGCGTCACGCAGCTGGCTGAAGAGTTGGTCAGACGAGTCCAGTTGGACTTTCCGCTTTTGTCCTTGTTTTGAGGATTGCTGGGGGGCTTTAGAAGACTCCTGGGCTTGAGGCACTGCCGTAGTCCCGACGATGGAGGTGTCCACATCTGCTTGGTTGTTCTTGATGCCCACCGTTTCATCGATCAAGCCTTCGTAGGTCAGTTGTGTGAGGAGCGCAGTTCCAAAATCGACTTCCCGATCGATGATGATAAGGCTTTCAGTGTTTGCGCTAGGGAGAAGGCCTCTGGCAGAGACTCCAGCCAACCCCGAGCTCTCTTCAGCATCAAGCTCCTTTCTCATCCGCAGTAGGAGGTCTGCAAGGCGTCGGGCATGGTCACCCTTGCCAATGATACGAGGGAAATAGCCATGTCTCTGCTGGATGTCCATGAGGGCTTTTGCGGAGTGGAAAATACATGCCGGATCCTTGTGCTGTGTGCCACCAGGTGTTAATTATGTTTGACACACAGGAAGTTGTGCTCTTCCTTACCAGGTACAGGTCACCAAAGGAGTCTTCCAGCTCCAGAGACAGCACATCTTGCTCCAAAGGAGCAAAGTACAGTGGAAATTCGGCAATATTCACGTCGCCTATGATGCCAGCTTCTTCAAGAATGGAATTGCTTACGAGGGTCCGCCTCGGAACCCAAAATATGGAGATTTCATGCTCAACATTGCCGTTGCGCTGGAGGCGTTGAATCTGTTCTAGAGGCATGTTAGCTCATACTGATGGCATTCAATCGGACGCGACTTGAAAGAAAGCCTTAGAGATGAGCTGTATACAATCTCTCTATGTTGGGATCTCTTGACTGACTACGTAGAGTTGGAAGATAGATCTGCGTAATCTACTGTTTGTCCCGAAGAGATATAGAGGCATAGCTTCGCCAATGATCGCAAGACGAGGCACAGGAGAGAGAGATAGAGAGAGAGAGAATTTACAATGGGATAAGGCGACGGGGTGGTGATCCGGAAGAAATGGACATACCTGCCACGGCCCGCACCTGGCGTATCTTTTCCGCGTGGACTAGGAAGACGACGTTGCGCTGAGAGGAGTCCACGTTGCCATTCTCGAGCAGGAACACGCGATCTACACCGTATTCCTGGAGCAGCGAGAACTTGACGAACAGCCCGACTGGACCAGCCAGATCCTGACTGACGACAAGGTTTTTCTTACCACGTACCTGCACCACGAGATTCAGCTCATGCACGGAGGCGAGGAGGATCACTGCTGCCTTGAGGGACACGTTGTTGGAGGCTTACTCACGCCTTCAAGGAGAGTTAACAAATCCCTACGCGCCTTGTCCCTAAAATAGTCTGCATCAGACCCTGGATACGGCGCCATGGCTGCGGTGAAGCATGCTCCGGCGATGTGATTGGGGAGGAGGAAAAGGGAAGAAGGGAAGAGGATGAGGGAGAGAGGAAAGGCGGAAGCCAAACGAAGGCAACCATCAACTCGAAGTGGGAAAGTTTGCACGTTTGCAGCCACTGGTTCGTGGCTGCGAAAAGGGTCCAGCCACCCCACTAGCCGTTTGGGGATTAGTGCGAGCACTGCCTGTCATATTGGTGGTTCTGATACCGTCAATACTCTCACAACTAACTTTTTTTCTGTGTCGAATGATGTATCAGAATTACCCTCCGCCTTGGGTCTCGACCCTCCGTCCAATAATGCCTAAGGAGGCGTTTCCCTGACGGCTGCTGCTCCCCTGACCAACTGGATTATTATTATCGTTGGTTTCACATCTTTCGCGCTGGTCCCTCTCTGATCCCCTTTTCTACCTCCATCTGTCCTCTTTTCACATTATATCCTTTCGTTCACCGGATTAATCGCTACTAGCATTGTCTTGACCGTCTCTCATCCTCATACTTGACAACTAATCTCACTCGCATTCCACGCCATGGGCCGATTCGGTTTCAAAAAGTCCGGGGACGATGACGAAGATTCCGGCAACCGTCTGGCACTTTTCGGCTCCAGATCGAAGAGCAAGAGCCCTGCGCCGCCTGCTAACCCCTACGCTAAACCTATCCCGACCGACCCTTACACCAAGGCCAAGATGCAGGCGGGTGTGGCTCCTCTGCCAGCCGGAGAACAACCGCCCGCAGCTGGCCCCTCTGGTGCCCATAACATCCCCGGAGATAACAAGTATCAAGGGTATGCGCCAAATCGATATGGAAACCAAGGCGGCTATGGATCCGACCGCTTTGGTGGCGGGGGTCCTGCTGCCCCTGCCGCTTCCCGGTACGGCCCTGGCGGCTATGGAGGATTAGGTAGCGCCGATCCCAATGACCCCGCGGCGGCAGATGGCAACAGAGATGCGCTTTTTGGAGGGGCTCGGGATCGGGCACAGCAACAACAGCAGGCCGGCCCTCCCCCGCCTTACTCCGAGGGCGGAGCTGCGTATGGCGGAGGCAGCAACGAGTACAACACTTCCACATACCAGGAGCGCCACCTTACTGCTGAGGAGGAAGAGGAGGAAGAAATTCAGACCATCAAGCAGGATATCCGTTTCATCAAACAGGGCGACGTCGCCTCAACTCGCAATGCACTCCGTGTGGCTGCCCAGGCCGAAGAGACGGGTCGAGAGACACTTGCTCGTTTGGGTGCTCAGGGAGAGCGT